GTTATCTGTCCATTCTATTGAAGAATTTGAGGGAGTGGCTTCAGTGGCACATAATCCTCTGAGGTGAAACGGGTCGTTGTTGTGAAAAGTACAACTTTGTTTACCGGTAAGCACAGGAATAAAACAGTTAATTTGCTGTTAAGTGTCTGTGTTGTGTGTGGGAAGGTAATAACGCTCAAACCTGTGATGAACTCAAACTGTTTGCGGTTGTTTGCCATTGTTTTCCTCACTTTGATGGAAATCACCTGCTTCCACTTCAAAGACTCCCTCGAACCCTGTTGCAACCACACACTGCACAGTTGACATTTGCACCCACTACAGATTGACAATAAACATGTCAATTACAGCGTATGATCAACCTTCTTCCAATTGAATCTCTGTTACGTGAGTTCAGTATGCTTCGAGCATGTTTTCCTGTTCAGAAATCATTTCAAGGCTTTTTGTAAACAAATTGAAAGGCCACCTTCCGTGTCACTGGAAAAAATGCGGCGATGACACTTATCATGCCGTCCGCTTTGACTTCTCTCTCCACTCGAGACAAGATAAGCGTCAGTGCTGTGAAAAATCACTTGATTAAGACAAACATTGGACTCTGCGTGTGTGTTCTTCAGTTTTTGCTAGGAGGCTGAAATGACGTCAACACCGGGACGTGGGTGTATTTCTGTCCCTGGTCCTTTTTCTTGGGAGGGGGCATGTGGGTGGGTGACATGTTGCCAGGAGCGGAAGTGACAACATTGTGGCTGAAATATGTCTACCAGAGTGTGTGTGTGTGTGTGTGTGTGTTTGAGAGAGATGGACTGTATTTAGTCATGCTAAGGGGCAGGACAAAGATATAAAAAACAGAAGCAACAGTAAGTGACAGAGAGGAGGAAGGGCAAACATGGAGGGATTAGTCATCATCAAAGTGGAGAAGTGAAACATAAACACTCACTTCTCCAAAGGTCTCTACTAACATACATTCTTTGTTTCTCTGTATAAGTAGCTCATGAAAATCTAAGACCACATTTGTGTGTGTGTCTGTGTCTGTGTGCGTGTGTGTGTGTGTGTGTGTGTGTGTGTGTGTGTGTGTGTAGCCTACAGGGAAGACATCTTCGTCATCAGTTCAATACTGCTGTCAGCAGCCCATGAATTATGGAAGTGTTTGGAAGTTGCAAAGCACGGCTTACAGCCAAGAGACATTTTTATTGAGTTGTGAGACGTGATGGGTGTGGTGTGTGCACATGCATGTGCACATGTGTGTGTTTGTGTGAGTGTGTTGTGTGCTCATGGTTGTGATGAAAAGACAGATCACCCGTCTTTCTTCTCATCCCCACTTTTCCTCTTCGTCTCTCACACTGCCATCACAACCTCTCCTGTTTCTACCTTAACATGGAGCTGTGCCACGTAAAAACAAACAGCTGCTTGAGTGAGGTCGAGCAGCTGGGCGCAGTTGTTCCTGTGACATTGTCTCTATCCCAGCTACTGTACATCGCAGCCCAATTTATTCCCCCCTGAAATGGGAGCAAACTGGTTTTAAACATTTCTGTTCAGTGCATATCTGGGTCCTGTTGCTTGTTCAAGACCATGCCACTGAAATAGTAAATAAATAGGTCATATCACAAAAGGTAAACTGTCAGTTATTAAGGGAATGTTTCTTTTCCACAGCTAAACTTAGCCACATCAGGTTACTATAGCAACACATGTGGATGAGAAGAAACTCAGAGAAATTGGTAACCTGATGCAGAAACAACTTATTTGAAGATTATATTTCTCCATCATTAAGGAATTTAATGACAAAAGTGCTAAATAAAAATTGCCAATGCCAATGTTACCGTTAGTCAGGAACATGTTTGGTGAAGTTCTGGGTTATGCATTAATTGGTTCACAAACTAAAGGATGAAACGAGGTAAGATATGCATTTAAAAAGCACACAAATAAAAAAAATGGAGGATGCTCTTTCCTGTTGTGCAATTCAGTGACGAGTTTCCTGTTTGAAAACGCTACAGTGTAAAACTGCACTGCTGCTGCAAAAATGAAAACAGGTCTTTCAGTTTCCTGTAAAAACTTTGGAATGAAAACAGACCTACATCACAATACACACGCATCCTCACACACACACACACACCCACACACACACACACACACAAAACCACAGTCTCTAGGCATAAACTGAGTGTGTTGCCTGAAATGCCCTGAAGTTGTTATCTTAAAGTGGCATCCTGGAGCTTGAGGGTGGAAGGGTGCGTGACTTGTGGAGCAGATTTAGAGTGTCCCCAAAGAGTGTAGTGCAGAGCGCGCACACACACACACACACACACACACACACACACACACACACACAGAGGTGTACACACATGATTTGCTATCAACATAACAATTCACACACACGTCGGTACAGACATTAGCATCAACATTCACACATCGTAAAACACACACTGACACAAACCCACACACATGGCCGTAAGTCATAATTTTTACTTACTGTGACATAATTAAGAGATACTCAAGAGAGTTCTTGTTTTTTTATCATTGCTAACTTTTCATCTATTTCCTGGAGGGGAATATGCTTCCATAAGAGATGATAAATGTGTGAAGAATCACATCCCACACACACACGCACACATAATCAATGCTGTTTTATTATGCTGCTCTGTTTTGCCTTTATTTGATAAGAAGCATGGTTGCTGGCTGGAATCAAACCAGGTACATTGTGAACACATGACGTGCATCGTAATCCACTGGGCAACAAGGACACTCCCTGTCTTCACATTATTTAGGGGTTCTGTGCTGTTCTCCGGTCAGACTTGAGGCGCATGTCTAGCGTAGGGAGAGTAGAAGTGCCTGGACGTCATCAGCTCACCTACCTATCCTCTTCTCCATCTCAGTCGCCTAATTTTTATATTTATAGCTCTAACTTTCTAGAACCATCCATAAAACCCACTGAGGTTGATCCTGAGGCTGGCACAATAATAGTCTCATGAGATGTAGCAGTAAGTGGAACTGAAAAGCAGAGAGGAGAAATGTATGCACCTTTCTCTGCTGAAGTGGAAAACATTGACCAGAGTCTAAATCATTGAAGAAAAGCGAGGGGGAAAGCACTTGACGAGATACTCTTTCAGAATTACAGCAGATTTTCTATGGCAGTGGAAAAAAAAAAGAGGCTGAGTGAAGTTTGATTAAATACAACCAAAGCGTTGTTTCGCATCCTCATTGAATAGTTTTAAATAACACTCCCTGCTGCAATCCTTCACATTGATTTTCACATAAATTATTTTTATTTTAATACCCTGAGCTGACTTTCCCCAGATGAATAATCAGAAAAATCCATTAACAGTGATTTCCACTGGTTCCCTTTACTTAAAAATACAAAGCAGTCAGAAACTTTCATCCAGAGGAAGTTCACTTTTTTATCAAAGACTTAAGAAGACTTAAAAAAACTAATCCTTATCTAATCTGGTTTTAGTGTGAGGAGAAGATTAGTTATTAGAGGAAAGTTAAAGCAGGTTATAAGGATGATTGCAGATCTGGATTAATTTATATTCAACCCACCTTGGCTGAAATAGTGTTTTATCCTCAAGAAAAGCCCCAACGCCCAGCACCAAGTGGTACACAGCACTAGTTCACCACCATGACATTGGTAATACTGCACTATGTCTCCGGGCACTATCACTCCACACAGGTCAAGCTGTCTCCAGCCTCAGCATTTAATTTCCCTTCATTAGGCCACCTCTCTGTAAAGCTGTCCACAAGGATTTGACATCAATTCTAATTTGTTGCACTTTGAAGTCTGATTAATTCACAATTACTGGGAGAAAAAGGAGAGACGAGGATAGAGAGGTCAGTGAGAATGAGTGGGTGTATAGAAAAGAGACGGAGAAATTAACAGGGTCGATAGTCTTCCGAATGTAGAGCAGACAATATTGGCGTCTGAAGGCTGATTATAATTTGAGCTGAGGAGTCAGACAACTGATATTTTGTGCAATTATTTTTTTAGCATGCCTATGTTATGCCTAATAAATGACTATTAATGCAACTGAATATGTATTATATTCAGTCATACTTGAAGTCTCTCACTGACAACATTGTGTTGGATCTGCTCAAACGTCAGAGGTGGAGCACAATGACAGGCTGAATTTAATTAAAGGCTGGTATCTGCAAAAGAGGAGATGGGTGAAATAAAAGACGGGCTGTGTCATTGTGAGGAAGATTTACAGATTCACAGAGACAGCTTTACTAGGCTGTTAACAGCAAGAGGCGAGCGGTTCAGACACAGGTCTTAGGATTGATCGATGAGAACAGATATGTAAAGAAGCGATGACGCTGAAGAGCTCACACTGCACACCATCTGATAGTCGACCTTTGCAGTGCTAATCGTTTACAGGAGAATCAGGCTGCACTGGGATTAGTCCCTTATTTGAATGACTAGAGTTGGAACAGACGTGGGTACTAATTAATGGCTGAAATATCCGTGTTTCGGGGTTTTATTGTTCGCAACATGCCAGTAGGTCCATACAGGGTGTTGATTTAAAGAGCAAATGAACACTGCGTCCCGCTGGCCAGACCGTCTGTATGGTGGTGCATGTTCTCCCGGTGTCCTCTCAAAGTCCAAAGTTATGCAGTTTAGATTAAATGACTCTAAATTGCCCGTAGGTATGAATGTGAGCATGAATGGTTGTCCGTTTCTGTGTCAGCCCTATGATAGCCTGGCGACCTGTCTAGGGTTCAGCCGGCATTCGCCCAATGTCAGCTTGGTTTCGGCTCAAACAAGTGGATTTAGTGTAAAGTTCAGGTTCAATATTTTTGATTGATATGTTGTGCTCTACACTGTTTCATTGCAGATTTACAGTGGTAAAACTTTCAGAGTTAGTTTTGCTTTTATGGGATGCTAATTTACAGGAAAGATATTTAAAATGATGCACATTTGTCCAGAATACACAGTACAGTACACAGCCATAATGGGCCTTGGTTTGAATATTTCAGAGATCTAACAGATTCAGTGAAAAAGCTGATCCAGAATATGGTATTGTCAAACAGTGCGAGAAACTTTTTATTTGAAGAAACTTAAGGTGACATTTAAAAAGAAATCCCAAAATATTACAGTTCTAGTAAGACACAGAAAATGTTTTCCGGGTGGTGTTAGTTTTCAGTCCTGGCACACGAGCAGCCGTATCTGTTGGCCTCATGTCCCTTTGTGTCCCAGCACAGCATCGTAGATCTTCCCAGTGAGGCGGTGATGGACGCCGGTGAAGCCGGCGGCAGCCAGCAGGGCAGCGTACTGAGCAGCTGTCCTCTCTCTGCCCTCCGTCTGTACCAGCATGTTCAGGGAGAAGAGCTGCACTGTCACCGGGCCAGAGCCGTCCTCGTGGAGCAACGCCTCCACCAGCAACACAGCGCCTCCTGTAGGACGGACCAAAAGAACAGCGCCGTTTGTATCTCGGTTCCTCCCTTTGTTTTTTTCCCCTCTCCTCGCTGACTAATTTGAAGTAGGAAACTCTCATACGACAGGTTGTACTCTGTCCAGTGTACGCGTCCCTACTTAGTTTATTTCTTTGTTTTTCTTCCCTCCTCTCCTGTATGCACACACAAAGATGCTTATTATTATTATTATTATGAGAACACATGAGAGGGTTTCCTGCCTCCTGATAACACCTGCTGCTTTTGTGTGAGTGCGTCTGTCTTTGATCAAAGTCACAAGGACAGATTTTTCTGGGATCAGCTGCATTGTGGGAGACAATCTGCCATCTCATTTCAAGAGAGGAAAAAAAGTGCTCATCCCTCTCAAAGACACACAGACCTGGTTTGCAGGCTTTGTAGACTCTACTGAGAAGCTCTATGCAGCGTTCGTCTTTCCAGTCATGGAGGATTCTAGCAAGGATGTAGAGGTCAGCCTCTGGTAGGGCGTCTTTAAAGAAGTCCCCTAAACACACACACACACAAATTCCTAAGACCCTGTTAATTATTTCACATAATTATTAATTCTGTTGACGCGCCTTCCCGTAACAAGACAATGGTTCAATTAATGGTTACACACAAATGGGTAACGTCTGTTCTAGTCGCATTATCTCAAAAGCATATAACGTACAACATATTTCCAGCTATAGCCAATTTTCTTTACCCTATAAAAACAGTAATAAAATGAGTGCATGTGTGCTTGTCCATCATTCAATTACATGTCCTCGCTGCCCATTATAATTGTGTAGTTGCAATATTCTAAGTTAGCATGAAGTGCAGAAGTCTTGATCTCAAAAATCAGTACATTTCAGTTTTTCGTGTTGTCCATGTTACAGCTCCCGTTGTGTTCAACACCATCGTGGCTATGAGAACAGCAGGAGAGGCAGGATTGATTTTGGCTCTGGGTTTTCAAGATCACAGGCTTCTGTGAACTTTTTTATAAATCAGCTGCTTTGTTGGAGAGCCAACATAAAGCGTGCTGTATAAATTGACACAACATTTTCAGTCCAATAGCAAGAGTTTAGCGGGAGCATGGAAGCACACAGGTGACAGTATCAACAGTGTCTTTATCTGCTTTTGTCTTCAGAACACAGTCGTAGTTGATTGTATATGAACTGAATGCTGCGCACACATGGAACTGAAATGCTGAAAGTATTTTCTCACACTGTCGCAGCGTGAAATTTCAAGAAACACCAACTTGACTGTCATTACATTATGATTGAAAAGAAATATCTTCAAAAGAGGTTTTCCGTCTTTTCTAAAGGAAACAAGACTGATGGCGGCAGGCAGACTGTAACCATGCCAAAACCACATCGCAAAGTAGTCGCTGGTGGAATTCAGCTGGGATTCCTTAGTCACTCCTTAGATCTGCACTTATTCTTCTTAAAGAAAGCTCTTTAATCTTCTTAAGTCTTAAGATACATCCAGTGGCACCTTTATTAAAGAGACCCTTCACCCATAGGTGAATTATTACCATTGTGTTGGAATTGCTATTGTGCAAGTAGTTTAATAACATATTAGTACACTTTGTGTAAACAAGAAATCTGCAATTCCTCCTACAATTTAAGTGACGTCGTGCCAAGTAGAACTTTGTCTTTGTATCTGTGATCCTGAAGGCCGGGGACATCAGAACTTTAACATGATGATCTTCACTTCTGCAGAAGTGTATCCCCAGCAGGTAAAGACTAGACTCACCAGCTCGCCACTGCATTGCTCTTTTGTTTTGCGTGTTAGTGCGTGTGTGTGTGTAAAGCATCGCACCTGAACTGTCTGTATACAATTATAAATGTCAAGGGAGTCGGTCCATTTGCAACGGCGTTACCTTCGTGGAAGCTTATCCTCTGGTCAGCCCCAGTGACAAAGTGTTCCCTCGACATATGCACCACCTTGGGGAGGTCAAAGATCGTCACAGTGCATCCTGGGTAGGCTGACGTGCAACGCTTGGCTAATGCGCCACTGCAGCCTGGAGAGAGAAAGACAGAGTTAAATTTAGTTGAATGAATACACACAACCTTCATCAACAAGCTAGTGCATCACACACACACACACAAACTGAGTCACACGAGCGGAACAGATGCTTTCAGGTATGTACCTAATATTTATTTGCATGATTTGTATTCAGATGTATGTGGCGGCCGAGGTAATATGGTTCATCCAACATTCATGCCAATAAAGCAAACTGAATTGAACTGTATATAGAGTGACTGGGAGCCAGATGCTTTATACAGAAACGGGGCAGAGCTTACGGTCTATGAATCTTAGTCAGGAATCTAACCTAGGGAAAGCAAACAGACGCATCCCATTTTTTGTTCTGCTCCAACCTGATTTCACATGCTTATGTATACAAGCTTTACATTTTAAATTCCTTGTTGCTCTGCTTCCACAGTGGCGAAGGCTGTGGCCATTATGTTTTCGGCATACAACCACGAGGCTGTAATTCTAGCCATCCATGCCAGCTGCATGATGGCAATGTTGTCTGTTCCACCACTTTGGTCCAGACTGAAATATCTCGACAACTATTGGAAGGACTGCAACGGAATTTGGTAAGCACGTTCATGGTCCCCAGGGAATTAATCCTACTAACATTAGTGGTCCCCTGACTTCTGTCAGTGCCACCATGAGACTTTTGTTTTTTTATCGAAATGTCTTAACTCATTTGTTTGATTGCAGAGGAATTTGGTACAGACATTTATGGTCCACAGAGGATGAATTGTATTACTTTGGGGATCTTCCAACTTTTCATCTTGCACCATCATCAGTTCAAATTTGTATAATACTTGAATATGTTTATGACCAAATAACTTCAAAAACATCCCATCAACTGTACTTTGTCACATTTAGATTCTTAAACTAAACTAGTGAACATGGTAAACATTATACGTTAGCAGGCCGACACTAGCATTTAGCTCAGGCTCGCAGGCCTTCTAGCATGACCATGGACTCTTAGTCTTGTTCTGCTTACTGCCCTAATAGAGAGAGCAGTAACTCTTTGTAGGGCAGAGGTAACACCTGATGACTTTGATGCTTTGGCAACATTATTATCAGCATCTGTGATTCACATGCAAACTCTAAAACAGAGGGTGAGGAAGTGTATGAGACCAATAGAGAAAGATGTACATGAAGAATGTATGAATGGGATAGAGTGATGGAAAGTCAGTGGTGGAATACAGGATCAAAGGATCTCACTTTGCCAAACCTACAAAGCCAACCACAGTGCCTGTGTGTGCACAGGTGGCAAACTGTCTGCCCGGTGCTGCCTTTCTCCCTCTGCTGCTACTGTAGTAGTCTGTATTTGTACAAGACTGTCTTTCACTCTCTCTCTCACACTCACACACACACACGACCCCGAGCTAACCTGGCTGCCTCAGTTTAATGGAATCCTTTGATGGGCGTTCGTGACCGTTACATTCTGTAATATTTGTTGTGTTTCTCTCTTCACTATTAAGTTCTGTGCTTACTGTATGTAATTTACAATCATTTGTGCATATGTGTGACCTTTTCATTAAAAAAACAAAACAAGTCTGGTGCATTGCACCACTACTAGTATATCAACTACTGAGTGTAGTTGTACTTACATACAAGTACATTTTTGGTTGGATAAATCTCATAATACTGGTTATGTCGACTACACTTCGAAACCATGAATATATCATTTCCTTGGAGTTGCAGTAACCTTTAAGTTGATTATTCATTTTTAGGGCAAACATACCGTTGAAACGCATGTTAAATGTCACATTAAAATGGAGCTGTGTGAAGACAGTCGGTGTAGGACGAACCCCCTTCATCATATAAATGAGAAAAACGTCGACTGCGGACTCTGATTTGGATGAAAGTCAGCAAATTGGCAGAAAGTACAGATGGGCAGAGAGACAGGCAGGCAGAGCACCCGAGCAGCAGGTGTGTGCAGACACAACAGATGCTGTGTGAGAGACAAAGTCTTAATGGGACACTGCAGTCACTCCCTTCACACTCCCGCTGTCCACACGCACACTCATTTTTAGTGCTGCGCCGCAATGCATAAACATGAGCACATAAACCTCACGCTGAGAAAGTCACAAAGGAGAGGAAAGAAAAGACAGGAGGACTGCCCTGGATGCGTGTCTACATGCACGTGTATGGCTGTATGCTTTTAGTAGCTTCACAGCTCCCCTGTGTGGTCAGCTGAGGTGTCACACACAGGAGGTGGCCAACAAATAGTGTCGGTAGTGAGTCGCTTGCCATTTCTTTGCCTCACTGAGTCCAAATGTTGTAGTTTTGGAATAATTAAAAAGAGAAACTGGAGACTCACTTGTGCATGTAAAACATTGCTTGTACAGCGTGGCTTTCTTTTTCTTGATAAATAATGAGGCCTTTTTTTTTCCAATTTTGTGAAATACATCGAGTCTGGGTTTCTGCACAATGCTTGTATGTCAACCTCTAATCTGATTTAACACCTTGGTGATTCTGGGCTTTCATGGGTAATGTTCTGGATCATTTAAATGTGATGATCACGCATAGGCTATAGTCTAATGGACAGAGCCACAGACTTAACATTGTCTTAGAAACCTCATTATTTCTATTCCATTGCCGATACATTATTATCCATCATCTACTATTTTTGACCGATGGAGGCGTGCAAGAGTGGAGACATCATGCATATCATGACGTCTTCAGCAGGAGATGAAAAGTCCTGTGACCGAACAGAAGATTCGTTTTTACTTGTTTTTTTTTCTTTTTGATCCTCGGTCTCGTTTTTTAGCATTTCTTTGAACTCACTGTGGAGCTCATGTTCTGTTTGTTCAGTCTTACTTCATCCTCCTTTTCATCCTTGCCCTTTGCGCTACGTGTAAACCATTTTGTAAGAAACCTTCTGTTCAAAGGCACTTTATAAATAAATCTTATTTGACAAAAAAAACAAAAAAAAAAAAATAACAGGGGAGATCAGTCCAGGAAGTTACCTTTATGCATTTAAAGAAGACTGACGCTGCTGCAACATCTTACTTCACATTCAGAGCTGTTCAGTTCAAACAGTCTTCTGTTGAACGGTGGATGGAATCTACAACAATCTGCAGCAAATGTTTTCCCTTCTTATTTATTTATCAACAAGTGCATATTTCTGGTACGCTTGAGAAAAATCATGTGATGGGCCTCAACACCGAGATCAGGCTATGCTAAATCACTTGAAACCAATTAGTAATATATACACTTGGGCCAAGTGAACACAAAAATTAGTTTTATGACAAAACACTGGTTTCACATTAAATTCACTATCTAACTGACATGCTGCAACAACAGGAAAACGATCATTTTTTTTGCATTCTCTTGGTTGTCGAACTACAAATTCCTATGTTACAGCCATTACCTGGTAAGAAGAAGGCTGAAATAAATAGACAGTTGTGACAAACATGGCTGAATACCTCACTTGATCTCAGCAAGTTAAATTACTCTGTTGCCTCCAACTCTCTGTGAATACTTACTTTGTGTTTGTACTGTTGCTTTGTTAAGTTTATCCACTCGGTGTGCATTTTTGTAAAAGAAAGCCATAGAAAACACCACTTTTCTACACTGCATTTGTTGTTGTTGTGTTTGTAGAAAAGAAAAACATGATTTTAACACCATAACTTTAGTACTTGGCAACAATGTATCTCTGACGGGATAAGGGAAACTCCAGGTGGAGGTGACCGAGTTGTGTGTGTGTGTGTGGGGAAGGTTGACTGATTTACAAAGAGTCATTAACTCAGAGAGGCTGGAGGGGGGGTTTAATAAAGGTCGCAGGTGATTATGCGTGTTGCGCATTTTTGTGCACACATAATTTACTGTATTAATGTGTGTGTGGCTTAGCCAGCTGTCTCTTAGTTAACACATGATGGCAACTGTTTTAAATGTTAATGACTGAACCCACAACCTTATGGAAATTAGATATGACACACACAGACAGACTTACCTCCAACGTCGCAGATGATGTTGAAAGGCGAAAGGTCAAAGGCCGTGATTACGTCTTTACCGCAGATGTTCCAAATAGAGTTCATCAACTGCATGAACTTCAACATCTCCTCATCAGACCTACACACAGAGAGAGAGATAAAGCAGTTTCACTTTCATTTAAGTCTCCGTGTCTCGAGGCCAAACTTCCTTTGCATTTTCTGTAAGCTGTCACCCGAGGTTCTTCTTGCTCTCTGTCCACAATAAAACAGTCAAACACACACACACACACAGTGCCTCTCATCTACAATGTTTCTCCCCATGGCGACAGTGTGTGTGTGTGTGAGACAGGGTGCAGCAGAACAGAAGAGCCTGTGGTGACTGCTGCTGCTCTGAGGAATGTCCACCTCATCACCCAGTACTCTGGCCTGCCTTGGGTCTACACACACAAACACAGACTGATCATCTTCTATTCTGTAACACCATTGTATTCACCCAAACTTCACTGCAGCAAAGTTATCAACCATCTGATACGTGACGCAACTTCAGATGACACAGTGACCTCCAGAGGAACTTTGAAAGTGACTCATTGTTGCAGCCTCAGACTCTGATTACATCGGATGTGAAAAGATGAAATGACTGAGGCCAAACAGCAGACTGTCAGCTTTCATTTGAGAACATTTTGGACGCAAGTTATCGAATGCCCCCCAACGATAACATCTGCAGCTCTTTTTGTCTCCGATTGAGTACATTTACAATCACACGATCTCGTGCCGTCTTCAGTCATTTTGAGGAAAATATGCTCAGCCTGGTTCTCTCTATCCTTATGCACATTGTTATAACATTGTCGTAGTTTGTGATCCGTCTGCTCTCTGCACAGACATGTCGCGTACTCCTCAACATCCCTGCAGGTCTCTGTCATATCTGTGCAGACTGAGTTATGGCTCACGGCTGCCTGATCACTGTTGTGTGTTCTACAGCTGTCTTGATGCTTTAGCCTCCCCATTATCAACAATAATAGAAGAAAAGACTGACGGGTATTATTTAAAGTATGGTCCACTTTGACTTTGCTTTCACTTCTAGAAAAATGTAGATCATTTCAAAATAAATAATTAGTTTAATCTGTTTGCAGAATAAAATGTGACGACGTCACTGAAAACTGGTGCAGTCCATGTGTCCTTTCTGTCCAATTATCTCAGCTGTGTCTCATCCACCGTTTCTCCTTTGACACCACAACAGGACGGTGCCAAAGCTGGACATTTTCAAATTGCGGCTTAAATTTTAATTTGGCAGTAGCTTTCCAATCCAAAAACTGTCAGCATACATCTTGTATATTTCATTGTCAATACAAAACTTAATTGCTAGAATAATATATTGTGAAGATTAGTACACTGCGTGCATCAGACAGCCTTTGGATAACCCAGGTTTCACGACCAGAATATGTTCTAACACATAAACCTAAAAAGTTCAATCCCTTGCGTTTACTTCATGCTCTAGTTTTAATTATTTGATGGACCCCCAATGAGTCCATGTGAAGCCCACATCAAGTAAAACGTTACAACCATTTCACCATCAAACCCTTAAATACAAAAACACGTTTAGATTCTATTCATCTGTGAAGGTTGAAACCATTAGACACATCTACCTGGTTTGGATAAAATAATAAATACTCATCTGTAAAACTTCTTCCTTGCAATGTCTTGTATATTTTCAAAATCTCTCTGAATCTAAAGTTCTCTTCACTCCACATCTTTTCTGCTTTCTCAGATATGGGAATTCAACCTCTGGACGAGCCTTGGTTGTAAATTATTCAGGTGCAGTCCACGGCTGGTGAAATGCCGATGAGTAAACAGGAGCCCGAGTCATCCAGCCAGCTTTGAATCATCTTGCTCCTGCTACAGAGCTCTGAGAAAGCAGTGAATGACTTCAGTGGTTGTTTCCCCCTTGCTAATTTACCCACAGTATTCACAGGGGAAATCAGCAGGGACAAGCAACTGCTACTCCCCATTAAATCAATTGTGCGCAGGTGTTGACATTTTTATCACGGAATATTTTCAATCAATTATAGCTGAATTGCAAATTCATCTGCACAAGGTTGTATTGCATCACGCGTGTGTGCATGGGTCATAATTTGAATTTTCTCATTCTACATGCATTTTCTTTTTTAATGAGGCAGTTTTTGTGAGATCAGCTGCTTTTTAAAAAGGATATAAGAACAAAAATGGCAAATACAGAGATAATTCAACCAGCAACATATAAAACAGCGATTGAGTGATGTGTAAAAATCCAAAGAAAACAAAATACATTCACATGCAAAGTATTGTCAAATTTCACCGTTTTTACTTTCTACTTCTGCTGAATTGGCGTGTGTAGCTCATTCATACATCTGCACATTAACACGTTAACATCCCCTTCCATCAAAGTGCAACGGTTGTGAAAATCATGCCATGATGAGGACAAGAAGGGAGGATGTTTTAGCACGTTTTTCCACCGTGTTTCAGTTTTAACGGCCTCTGTTCCTTTGAGACTGGTATTCTAAAGCACAGTGCCTCATGCAGGAGGCCCGACCTAAACCTCTTAGTGAAAAAAAGTGTGAAACTTTGAGCATGTGACCCCTGAAAACTGCTGACCAGCAGATCAGTGAAGCGTTAAAACTGTGGGCAGTACATACCATAAACACACAAGACCTTTAGGACAATGGCAGATATATTCCCTGTCTGCTCCAGGCTTCCTCACATCACTGCCCACCCTCTCTCTCCCTCCCTCACACATCTCCTGCCTCCTAATAAATCCAGAGACTCTGGGTTTTTTTTAAGGGTCGAAGAAAGAAGAGAGTGACAGACAGGCTTAAGATGGAGAGACAGCGGTGGAATGTAAATTAGCAAGAATCTGTGTTTTCATGTCAAGACAGCTTCTTACCTGTAGAGAGCTTCAAACAGGTCGTTCGAGCTGACTCCAAAAGCCTTTTCATACTGGTTTCTTCCCTCTCTGGTACAAGGCAAAGACACAAATATTCATATATGATCATTTTTCACACATATCTGCTACGTGAGTGTACACAATGTGGGATCCCGGTATTGATCGTCTCACTGCTTAAAATCTGCTTTAGCTTCATCTCATTGCCACAGTTGACATAGATGAAATGTGTTGACATGAATTCACCATCACGTTCTGCCTATTTTAGGTCAATAAATCCTTTAGATGTAATCTTTACTTCTATCTGTTTTCAGTGTTTCTCACAGATGGGACTTCACTCGTCAGCCACAGTAAATCCAGTCACGCTGTTGGAGAGCTGCTGGCTGTCCTCCCTCAGACATAACAATGAGACTGAAATCCATCTTGAGACACTGTTCAAACAAAAAAGTAGGACTGGAATCCACAGCCTTAGGCTACAAATCAAACCTGGCTTTCTCACAGCTCCTCACTGCCCACCTGTGTGAGATTCTATACTCTTCTTGGCTTGCTCATTTAGATGAATACCATCCTTTGTGCATTATTTAGAAATAGCATTGTGTTTAGTATCATGCAACAAGAAATAAATGTCAAATAAATTGCTGGTTTCAGCCTCTCAAATTAAAGGATTTGCTGTTTTTCAGTGTTTGCTGTCATAATCAACATAAACACTGATCACTTTTATTTGCATATCGCTTTGTGCTTAGGGAAAATGTGATAGGATTTTCTGACATTTTACAGCCTATACTATTTAACTTTTATTGGCAAAAAAAAAAAAACCCAGCTCGAGGCCATGCTCAGCGTACTGACCTGACAGCGTCGGTGAGGTAGTGCCAGCCGAGGTAGATGGTTCTGGAGCTGTACTGGATGGACTCGTAGAGGGACACAGGACTGGAGCGCGTCAGGTAGACACTGGCCTGCTCTGTGTTACTGTACAACACTGAAAGAAGTGGTGGGAGAGATGGAGGGCGACAGACCGAGGAAGAGGTGACTGTGAATGAATCACTGCAGGTGTTGAGACAACGTTTGAACTTTAATGTAATCGAGGAAGACAGAATGAGAGGGAGGTGTGTGTTGCTGGTAATGAATGTCTGATGACAAATGGACAAGTATGAAATTTACATATAGTTACTAAAAAGACTACTAAAGAGTTTTATTGGTTATTTTTCTTAAATTATTTTTATTTAGTTTCACACATTCGCGTGCTTTTCAATTCTTAATTATGATGCAACACTGTTCTAAACAAATCAGTGTCATCATTATTATTACAAGTAGAGAGTTTTCAGGCGTGTGTGTGTGCTGACCTCGTCCATTTTCCTGGTGTGTGTTGAGGAGCTGCAGGCCGGTGCAGGCAGCCAGCAGTCTCTGTGTGCCATCCAGACTGGCTCCGACCGCCCGGCTGATCTCCTCTGCAGACAGGGGGTGCTCTGAAGCCAGCAACACATCAAACACCCCCAGCTCACAGGCAGAGAAAAGCGTCTGTGTCAGAGAGAGAAGAACAGAGCACAGTTCATTCATGTACCAAAGTCAAATAGACTGCAGTGCTCAATCCACAGAATTAAACAATCTCTTCTAATACAATTATAGTCACATACAAGTCTATATAGGCTATTTACACTAATCAGGACAGCCCTGTTATGATGCTTCAAAGTTATTTCAACAGAGACACGTGCAGTATCAATGCGTCTATTGAAGGTAATTTAGTGTGGTGCGTCATGCTTCATTACACTCAGCAGAGTGAGTCACCATCACAGTAAAGGATTAAAATGACTAAACAGTAAAGGATTAAAATGACTAAACAGTAAAGAGCCAATCAAACAGTCAAGATAGCTGGACCTATAGAAAGTATAGCTGAAGTATTTCATTGACGTATTTATAGACATCAGTAATGTCTTCACTAAGATTCTGCACATTATTTAATTACTTTTACTGTCAGATGTTTTCATTTACTATCCTAATTTTCTTGTCCGTCTCTTTTTACCATTTACTCCTGCAACAATTTGTTTATTGGGATAATACAATTAAAGCTTCGTCATCCAGTATCCATTATAGTGCAGATAATAGTTCATCAAAAGTGTAGTAAACTGACATGGCCACAAATATATTAGAAGGAAATTAGCACTTTGTGTATTTTTCAGTTAAGAGACTTAGGGCTGCAATTAATTACTATTTTAAGGAGTAGTTAATCTCAGATATTTCTCAATGAATTACTAGATCTATAAAATGGCAATGTTCTAGAGCGCAAGGTGGCATCTTCTAACCAACAGTCTAAAACCCAAGAATACGACGCAGCAGTTCCCACAATCCAAAAGGTGGAGCTTGGTGTTTTTGCATGAAAAAAGTAAGAATGAATAAAGTATCAAAATCGTTAACAATTAACTTTCTGTTAAATGACTAATTGTTTAATCACCTAATCATTTTAGTTTAAGAAACTGCATTTATATGTTGGAATGCTATCAACTTTCAAGTTGAGGGGGGGGGGGGGGGGAGAAACCTTTTGTTAGAAACTTCAGGCATTTTTTAAATCCGTAACACTATTGTCAATAAATTCAAACTGAGTAAAGGCTTGTCTGCGTCTCTGTATGGGACCCATGAAGGTGAGTGTGCATGTTACCTTTGAGATGAGGAATCCTTCCATATACTCCAGTATCTTTCTGGGGTAAGCATCCGCAGCAGGTGTCCCTTCCGATGAACCAGTCTCTTGACGCTCAGCCATGGCCACAGTTTGGACTGAACTCCCCGAAAATACCGTGAACGTTGTGCTCCTCCGTGCTCTTCTACATGCAAAGTGAACTTCCCCGATTGTTTGTTCTGCTCCTCAGGCACTTCAACACGTGTGTATGAATCCCAGTGTAGGCATAGCCAGGTTTAAAGCTGCAGAAAGGGCCCACCCAGTAGAAGTGAGAAGCAGTGGGCTAAACTGATTACGGCCAGATAACCCAGATTAGAGCAGGGGCTCAGTCTGCATCGGACAAAGAAACAACTGTGGAAATACACTGCTGCCTTGTTCATAATCACTCACACACACACACTCGGCTGGAGACTTTCACTCAGTGCATTCTCATATCAGGTGTGTTTTCGTGATTTGATTGATTGACGCTCCCCTCCTCGTCTCCATATGGCCTGATTGCACTTACGCCGAGAGACCAATGGTAGCATCAGAACTAATGACACAAGACGGCCGTGTCACAAGCCTTTATGAGACTACACACACACACTAATCAGACTATTAATTATTCATCCACACAGTTCATTAAACAGCACACGGATAGCTAGAGTTGTGTAAACTGTCACCTCGATCCTTCACACAAGGATTTGAGTTTAGAGAACGGCGTTAAAGTAGAAAATGAAGGTGACAGAACATCAAAGTTTTCAGCATGACTTTTTATTAAAATGTGTATGCATGACATGCTCTCAGAGATCATGAGGTACACAGAACAAGTGGTTATTGCCATGGTGAGCAACAAATGTCAATTTAGCAGTGTCAAAAAAAACAACCATTGGACCTTATTGACTTCCTCAAAGCTGAAATACAACAAGGAGAACCGTCTGTACAGCTATTAGTACGGCTATAGAAATGTATCCAGCATTACATTGTGAACATGAAAGAATCCTAACATCTCCTTTCTACTTGGTACAGTGCTGGACTGACTGGAACCCTTTTTTTCTAAAACGATAATTAAAGCTTTAACCCAGACTTGAAGAAATTGGAGCGGTCTCAAAGCCGTCACTTCAATTCAAGACATACTCATTAAAAAAAAAGAAAGAGGGAGAACACTGCTTGATGAGTCGGGGCCAATACGCCTTTTGTTACTTTCAATTCACGCAAGTCACTCACTCAACTTATTCACATTTGTAAATTCAAATACAACTTAAAATAAATGAAGTCTTTGTAAGTTGAAACTTTGTGATCATCAAAAATGGTGCCGCTTGGTTAAGCTGGACGACGAGCTGTTTATCAGCAACACAAGGAAATATTTCAGGCCGTTGACACGGGACAGGTCAGCCTAAACATAGAGGTGTGCTAAGAGTGTGGATGAAGAGGTTGGTGCCACATCAAAATAAAACTTTCCACTTATTAAAACCAACTGTTAATCATGCACAAAGACTACTTGCTTACATCAACAGGCTGTTGGGTTCACAGTAGGGTCAGACGGGTGTGTCAATCTGCAAATACAATGAGCCGATCATATTCACCTTTAATTATCAGACAGTTAATGTTCTCAACATACACATTTGAAGACCCTAATACGTTTATTCATGTTGGTTTTAGTGTACTTCAGTGCATATGTAGATGCAATGTCTTTCACACATGGCAAAGTATAATATTCTAAAAACAAATGGTAAATTGTGTGTGTTATGCCATGAAGTTGTTAAATGTAAACACATTGAAGATTTGACAAATGGAGTCAGCAGCTGATACTGAGCAGTATGAAATGTGGAGAAAAAAATAAAATAAAAAAGGTAAAAGCACCACCCTAGAATCATCACTGATGTACATGCCTTTCACATACAGGGTACACTTACATATATAGTTTCAGCTGATTCTGCTTTAAATGGGATTTTTGTTTTTTCATATTCAAGATTTCTTGTTTTGTGCTGCCTTATTCTGGAAAAAGCCATTCGGTGCACTGTTATATTACTTACTTAAAGGGCCAAAACGTCTATTCTTCTTCTGAAACTTATTGAACTTTAGGTGTAAGCCCAACAATGGGGAATACATAAATCAACAAACTGATGATTAGCATCGTCTGGAGTGGCTCCTGTCTCTGCTGTTGCTGTGTCTCTTGTACCTGTGATGGCTGGGACTCCTCCCGTCTCTACTCTTGTTGCTGGTCCTGGAGCTGCCTCTGATGTATCTACGGTGACTATGCCTGCTGGTCCTCTCGCCGCTGTAGCTCCTCCCACTGCTGCTCCGGCTCCTGTCCCGGCTGGAGCTTGTGCTCCGGCTGTGGCTCCTCCTACGACGACTGGAGCTCCTCCTCCTCCTGCTGCTGTAGCTGTGAGAGCGCCTCCTCCTTCCTCGGCTGTGGGAGCTCCTCTTTCTGTGGGAGTGGTTGCGGTCCCTCGCTTGCTCCCTACCGTGCTTACTCCTCATCACCTCTTCCTTCCTTCCTTCCCGGTCCTTCTTCGTGTCCTCCTCTGGTGTTCGTTTTTTGCCCAACACTTGTGAATGCACACTGGATTTGGACACCTGCTTCTCTTCGCCCTCAATTGCCTTCACTCCGTACATCCGGCCCAGGACCCCCAACATCACATCATTAACACCAGGAGCAGAGGCCTCCTCCCCGGTCACAGGGCCAGCCTGGTCCTGTGCGCCTGGAGGTCTTGTGGCTTTACCGCTGCTCTTCTTTACCAGGTTGCCAAGCAGTTTCTCCCTAAGCTCCCTCTCGCGCCGCTGGAGCTCCAGCGCTCGCTCCTTCTCCACCTCCACCCTCCGGAGCTCCTCCTCCTGCTTGCGCCGGCAGGCCTCCAGCTGCTGAAGACGAGCCAGTTCCTCCTTTTGTCGAGCCTGCTCCTGCCTCTCCCGCTCCTCCCGCTCAGCCCTCTGTTTCTCTTGCTGCTGCTGCTTCAGGTCCTGGAGAGGAGAAAGAAAAAAAATGGCGGTACAGATAAGTAAAACAATTGAGAAAAAAAAAATCTCCCGTATAATTCCATTCCAGATGGATGTGCGTGTATACCCATTCAGAGTGTGTTGTGTATCTTTGTGTACCTTGGCCCGGGCCAGAAGCTCAGCAATGAGACGGATGGACTCCAAGTTGCGCTGAGCAAGCAGCAGCCTCCTCTCCTCCATGGCGATCTTCATCTGCAGCTTCTTCTGATCCTCCTCCTGCTGTCGCCTCACCTTCTTCAGGTTCCTCCTCTCCTCTCTCTCCCGCAGCTTCAGTTCTCGCTTTCGTATCCTCTCTTCCTTCCTCTTCTCCTTCTCCTCCTCTTCCTGCTCCTTCTGCTTCCTGAACAAAAGGGGAAATTGTCCTACGTGATCATCTGTTATTGCTGGTAACTTCTTGCTCTAATTAAAATAACGATGTTTATCTTCTTGATAACGGCTTTCCATTTCTCTCTCGTCTCCCATCGTACCTCTCCTCATCCTTCCGTCGCTCCTCCTCCTCCTTCTCCCGTCGTTTCTGCTCCTCTCTCTGCCTCTCCAGCTCCTGTAACTTCAGCCTCTCCAGGCTCCTCTTCTTCAGAGCCAACTCACTCAGGTGCTTGCTGGTGTCAAAGGCCACCTGAGGGAAAACACACACACGTACCGATACACGGCTTACAACAAGATATTTCATGGTATACATGGCACCAAAGACAACAGCATCTTAATCATCCTGGAAGAAGTGTTTCAGCATTTGTGATGTTTTATTGAAGTTTTAATGGATCTGTACCATCTTTTGTGCTGTGGTGGTAATGTCAGCCTGTCCAGTAAAACCAGACGTAACATTCTTGTCAAAATAGAGAGTAAAAATAATTTGAGTAAGACGGAGCCAGCTCTCCAACAATTTCAAACAAATGGGTTTAGTGCTATTCTAGCATGGCAGGTCATTCCTTTAAGTGAGGAACAGATGGTAGAAAATATTCACTACAACAACGTGACATATACAAGCTAGATGAAGCCCTTCATGGTCAGGCAAGAGCTTCTCTTTGTTTACGTATGTAATCTAAAGGACATAATCTACTTTAAGTATCTTATTTTCTTCTTCTTTCCTTCCTCTACTCTAGTTTAGATTTCAAAGTGAAGCTTTATTCTGTGGATTACGAGACCTCTGGCTCTCCCCTACTCTGATCACCTTGGAAAAGATTATAACGCAGATTTAATTCTCATTCTACTAAAAGGTCTTCAAGCTGCTATGTGTCTCTGAACAACATAATCTAATTACTAAAATCTGCAATGTCACTACAGCAGCTGCAATTTACTTGTTGCCTCAAATGTAAAACAAAGGTGTACAGATCTCTTACATACCCGTAGCAAAATAAATAGCAATGTGCTAAAAGAGCTTCAGAGTTGATTTTAAACGTAGAAATACATTATTTATGTAACAAAGTAATCTCCCATTACTGTGATTGGCAACACACTATCTTGCAATGTTCACTACTTGCCTTATTGTGAAAAGAAGTCTCTTTATACACCTTAGTCACGAGTTAAACTCAAGTTTTCCAAACGCTTTTCCTGTTAGTTCGGACTGATCGATTTCTCTAGGATTGAACATATTTAGGAAGTCAAACAACTTAATCAAGCTTAATTATGTACAGCAGGTCGTGAAGCTCAGAAACGGGAAACTTTTTGGAAAAGAGATATCATGTGTGTTCTTGCCATAACCATTAACAAGGCTAGCGAGAGCCTGCAGTACCTTGATGTTGCAGGCCACTGCCTTTCCATCGTCTCCTTTCAGCATCAGCTTCATGCTGCGCAGAGTGTCCATTGCCTTGGTGAAGCCGCCATACTCCTGGTACTGGACATAAGCGTCAAAGTTCAGGTGTCCCCCGAAACTGAATGTGTTGAAGTTCTTGTCCAGCATCTCCTCCCGGTATGGGTCCAGCATGGGGATGTCAACATTCCGCACCTACGATCAAAAAGGGTGGCACATTGACAAAATCAAACACAGTGTCGTTTATGGCTCAATTTCAATGATGTGGCAATATGATATACATGACCTTTGGTGACTTCTTTGAATTATATTGTTTGAGGGAAAGAAAGTTAGATAACTTCAGCTTATTACTAAATTAAATACATGCAGAATCAACCAGTTTCATGGGAGACTACAGATCCACACAGCAGTTCCTTTCTAAGCTCACTCATTATGTCGCTATAAGTAAGGATCGGTGCTCAAAAAAAAAAAAACAGTAATTACAAAGATTGTACATGTATACTCTAATACCAGCCTTGTCTGTGATAAATTAACACAAATGTCCTGCATAGTTAGATTTATATGTTAGATTTGCAGCAAAGGCCAATGTCATTTCTGTGTTACTGTCCTGTTAAAAATAGAAACACGTCCCACCTGGCCAAATGTCTGAAAGACCGCAATCAGGACCTCTTCAGAGGGCCGGTCTGGGTACGGGCAGTCCTTCTGGCTGAACCAGCGGCAAGGAAGTCCCTCTAGGTGGATGGTGTCGGGCCTCTCTCCCGGCACAGTCTCATTCATATCCTTGGCGTCGCGGAAGAAGGAGTCCCAGTCGTGACGTGTAGGGAAGTCCACTTTGTTCTCTATCGCACGGACCTAAGGAAGGAGAAGGAGACAAGGGTTGTATATACACTCAGTCGCCAGTTTGTTATGTAAATGGCTCTGCAATATATAAAGTTTTTAATGACACTGTTGTAGAGAGGTATTGAGTCAACATGGTCATTTTGTAAGTTGTGGTGCCATTTAATTGCATTGCATTATACAGAAGGATGTTTGTAATATTTACTCTCATTGATATAAATGAGCTGGGAAACATATTAGAAACACCTGTCAGCAACGTGTCACCATGGGATTTTCCATCCAATAATGTCAGCCTTACCTTCAGTACATCAGTGAATCCACTGAGTTTGATGCTCTTCCCATCCAGACGAGCCAGCAGGCTCTTGACCACCGTCTTGTTCTCCACCTCGCCCTCGAAGCGGATGAAGTCCATCGTGCTCTTGGAGATTCGCAGGGCTGAAAACTGATCCGGAGCTACCATGGCCTTGATCCTCTCCATTACTTCCCAGTTTGAGATGCTCTTGCCCGGCAGCTTGAGCTGCGGCAGAGCCACACTGATGGTCATCTTGGCAATGGGCTTGAGGTAGAGGTTGTACTCAGAGGAGAAGCACACTGCCTCTGTAGTATCGTGGACAATGGTGGTCATTGTAGCAGACATGACGGGAAGCTGCAGGGCGGTTGAAGAGACAATGAAGACTGTTAGCACATGTTAGCTGCTCTTGAAACAGCTCTGAATAAGTACACTATTGTGTGAACAACAACCAAACATAATGGTTTACAAACGGTGTGTTGATGGCGCTTATCTTTACCGCTTGGTCTCTTCAAACAACTGGCTAGCTAAACATAATTAGCTAGCGAGCATCAACGTTAGGTAACGTTAACTAGCTAGCTAGTTACTAACACCGCTATATTAGCCATTTTCAAGCTAATGAAAACGGTAGGTTACCAAACGTTGGTTGTATGCTAACGTGCAAAAGCTGTTAGCTAACAGTTCTCGCACAACGATATATATAAACTTTAGTTAGCGTTAGACAAACCTGAGGGCTGATTAGTGAAACAAATGACTAACGTTAGCTAACACTAGCTAATGATAACAATTCAAAGACCATAATAAACAGCGCGTTAGCTATTAAACTAGTTAGCTAGTTAACGTTAAGAGCAAACTGTTTTGGTTAATAACAACAGACAAAAGTTGTGTGGTTAACATTAACATTGTGTTTTAGTTGCGGGCTAGTTAACGTTAGCTTGAAGTGGTTTGTAACCGTGTAGCTAGCTAAGCTACCGCTTACAAAACGTCCGAGAGCATTTATATATAACGTTAGCTACAAACGTCGGTTATCACAGCAGATTTCACCGCCACCTACCTGGCATTAGTTAGCTTCCTGGCAAGAAAATCAACAAACGTATTGCAACGTAACTGATTTATAGAGACCCAAACGCTGCAGGGGAAAAACCAGAAAATAACCCATAGAGCGTTTTCCGGATGCAGTAAACTTTGACCTCAGAAAGAAACAACATGCAGCAGCACCATAGCGGCGTTATTTCAGAACAGCGACACCGTGTGGTAGATGTGTGCAGGAACAAGACAGAACCAAATGTTCTTTCTGGTGTTCTTTCATAAGTTAAATGGAGATCATCTGTGTGTAGTCAATGGGTAATCAAATTGATTGAAGTACAAATAATACGACACCCTATGTCGAAGGACTTGTACAATTTGTAAAGCCCCTCGAGGCAAATTTGTCATTTGTGTTATTGGACTAAATAATTAAAAGTGTTTTGACTCTTGACTTGAAATTCACCAAAAATGCAAATATTATATTTATAATTAATTTAGATCACTTTATAGAAATCAGTTTTCACTTTGACATTAAAGGGCTTTTCTTAAGTTTAGCATTAAAAAGCCCAAATAAATCTACTTGTACAGTTAAACAATAAAACACGAAAACCTCTAAATAGGATGAGTATGTTTTATAGGCACTGTAGGCTATGTCACAAGACAGCAAAACATCCGGTAGACAGTGCACATGTGTTACTAAATTGATAACCATTTGGCACTGTTAGTCACAAGTTAGGCTTATGGATGTCATAATCACTGTGGCGACTGTTTGTGGAGAGAGTGAGAGATAGGGATAGATTGGACATGGATTAGTCCGACAGCAGAGGCCCCGGGCAAAAAAGTTGGCACAGTTTCCCTGAAAAGATGGCAGAGGAATTTAGATAATAGACATTACTCCCTTCACTTTGTATGTAGGTCAGTAGCTACAGTCAGATAGCCTCTCTGCTCTGTCCCGATTGGCAGTCATCTATAACAGATAGGCTGCCTGAGGCAGGAAACTACCGGCCCGGGAAAAAGAGCAGACTCCGACGGAGCATTTACATTTAAACAAGCAGCACAGTTGATTGTGATGACACATATGTAATCCTGCTTTTATATGGCTGATGTGCTCTGGTAAACATGAAGTAGAAGTCACATTAATTAAAAAAAAAACTACTTGTCCTTTGTCCCTTCTAATATTTGCAATATACTGAACTTAGAAAAAAAAAACAAATCAGCAGTTTAAATGGTTGTATGTTTTAAATGTCAATTTGTATTTAATAAAAGAAAGGCATAAACTACACCAGTTTAGACTTAGATCAGATAAAAATGTCATTAATCTTGCATTAATCTTTTCTTTGTAACAATAGGAGTACACAGACACACACACACACACACAAAACAGGCGCAGAATGAGGACCGGCTGTGAATATATTATGTGCAGTTTTTCATGGGCAGCTTGTGGATAGGAAGCTGTGGATTTACTGTAGTGGTGGGTCAAGGGGTGATCAGATCATCAATTATTCAGCACCACCAGACTGGGACAATCACTTGGTGTCAGCAGGACCGGCATACAAAATAGCCTGCTTATTTTGGAGCTTTGGTCCATTCTTAGTTGAATCTGGCTCTAGCATTCGTGATTGCATACATTATGACAGCTCTGACCACCATGTTTAATCTTTGTTACTGATTCTGTGTTCCTACATATTCTTCATATTTGTCAGTAGCATACTGTACCAGATCACTGACTTCACTTTTATGCTTTATTTGATAGTCAATGATAAGACATGAAGACATAGATGACAGTGGCTCACTAACAGTGTATTCACATCACATAATAACGTCACAGTATTTCACAAAGAAGACAGAAACAATGATTTTTAGACATAAAAATGAACAGCAGAGAGAATTTACATTTTCCCTATTCATGTATTTAAAAAAGTGACATGAAAGTAGGTTTATAATACATTTCTACGTCAACAAAGTCAACCATGAAGCCCTATGATTTGAGTACAAAGGATACAAAAAACAAAGGGAACATTCATGAAATCTAGGATTTGTTATTGATCCGATATTCAGATATGAGCACGGTTCACATATTTGGGAAAACAGTCAAAAAGTCGATGTGCTCATCCGCTAAACATCCAGCATACTCTGGTCTAAGCTCTTCACTATCCACAGATGATTAATGAACAATGATTGTGTACATGTGTACAGATTCTTTCAGATTTATATGTTAAAAATAGATTTGCACAAAACACTGCAATCTACTATTAGAGGCCCACACTGCTTAAACTCCCACATAAAGAAGCAATGTAACGGTTAGTGAACCAGACCCAGATGACTTCAGGTAAATTATAATCAGTAGAAAAACCACACCAGTTCCCCCTGTGCTCCCACCCTGTGAAACAGTCCCACTGTGTAACTGATCAGTGTAGTTAAAGTACTTAGACATAACTAAAGACATCATTTTGGTAGAAATACATAAGGGGAAAATGACATTGTACTTTCATATATATATATATATATACAGTACAGTGCATTAGAAATCTATGGGTGTAACAATTTGATCACCCCTCATCAGTATGAAATGGGATCAATAACAGCCGGCATGGGTTTAGTTTAAGCAGTTTCCTCCCATAATCACAAACCGTCTTCAAAGTGACAAGTGCAAACATGGCTGTTTGGACATACAATAATTCTGTTTGAATACTGAAATCTGGTGATTAAAATTCACGTTACAGAAATGTATTTTAAAAAAACAGCACCACCCAATCAAAGGAGATTGAAATATAGAAAATGAGTTCTATGAATATATTACTTTACTCTGGAAACAAAAACTAGATTTTAGATTACTCTGTGGAATCAAACCCAAGTGCAATTTTCAAATCCCTCACCCCTGTGAGTCCAATCTAAAGAGAAAACCTGATACAGTCCCGCTTGTTGCTTTTGCATTTGTGTGTGTTCTAGTGTAGTGAAGTATTACATTAAAAAAAATAGTGTATTGATTGCTACCGACTCTAAAAAACAGAGCGTTAAAAAAACAATAAGAAAACTAAAACAAAAAACTGTTTTTACTCAATGAATTTCGTGGCAAATAAAATGCTACATAAACTGCGACCTGCCCTCAGTGATCAACATAAGGCTAAAAACTGCAATAGGAACAAAAATAAGTTAGATTTTCAGAGAAATATATTGTGGTCCTATAATAATAAACCTTAAAATCAGCTTGAAATCATACTGTCAATGAGGATGTGTTTGGTTACTCTGGTCATAAAATCGGTTTCTATCTCAGAGTTGTATTACTTTATCCAAACAGGTTGGATAGCGGTCGGGGTCGGACAGGGCTGCTGGGGAGCTCCTCTCCTCTTCCCACCTCCCCAGTGTCCCTGAAGGAGGCGCTGTGGATGATCTGGGCTCGGTGGCGTCCTCGGTGCAGCCGGGCGTTCAGTCGGCTCAGAGAAGACTTCCTCTGCATCCCCCCTTTGGTCCTCCCAGTCACGACTCCTTCCTCCGCCGGCCCGGCGGGTGGGTTCAGGAGCCGCAGTGGGTTCAGATTGCCCTGGAGAACTCTGGGAAGCCGCCACCCGCGCCCTCCGCTGCTACTGGTGGCGGGTCCGTGGTCTGACTCGGCCCCCGGCGAGGTGACCACTCCCTCTTCCTGCAGGTCAGCAGCCAGCAGGGGGGACAGGTACTGGAGGGCTCGCCTCCCGCTGTAGTCTCGAGCATCAGGGTCCGCCTCCCAGTCTGACAGCAACACACGCACCACCTGTCAATCACAGCTCATTAAATACACTCAGTTAAAAATAATTCCATGTCATAACATGAGCAAGGATTCATTGTTTTCTTGTTTGTTTTTGTATTAAAATTAAATATATTGACCCTCCTGGAGCATTTGTATGTTTACTTTTAAGTAAATGTCAGGAAAAGGTTTCCTCTTTGGCCACATCTAATATTTCCCTGCAACCAGAGCATAGCCTGCAAATGTTCCAGTTTCTGTGGAGATGCCCCCCTCCTTCTTTGGAACAAAATGCATACAGTAGACACAAAACCCCCCACTGCCACCACCATCTACCCAACCCACCTGCATGTGTCCATGCATAGCTGCCAGGTGTAGCGGCGTGTATCCAGCACCTGATCTCACGTTCACATTCACAGGTATAGCGTTGTCCTTGGAGAAGGCCAGCAGCTGGGAGAGCAGCTCTGCTTTGCCCTGCTTGGCCGCCCAGTGGAGGCAGGTAAAGCCGGTGACAAAGTCTCTCTTGGCCACAAGGCTGGGTTCCACAGCGAGCAGGGGCTGCAGGCTCTCCCACAGTCCGTCTGAGGCGCACAGCATCCACTCATGTTCCAGCGGGTGCAGGGTCACCGACGCGCAGTCCTCATCAGCGGTTGTGGAGAGGAGCGACGCCGAATCGCCATCGCCCTTCACCGAGTCCCGGAGCCGTGAACCACGGTTGATCAGAGACCTCCGTACCTGTAAAGGGAAAACTATTGGAATGAATGAGGCTCATACTTTACAGGCACTGTATATAATTCCATATTTAAACAACCAAAGGCATATTTTATTGTTATTTGTGGAAGGCTACCTAAACAAAAGTAGGCCAGTAGACTGAGCACCACTGTTTATCACAATAAAGTCTCAAATGTACAAAGACACCGTAGACAGTAAAGTTTCAGTTTTTAAATAATACATTTTTGTTGGTTACTGCCTTATGATGATAAATAAATGGAGGTCATAGGTCAAAAGATTACATCACCGTGTCTCTCAGTTACATAAGACAGAATACTACTGCTGTGGAGTCACACCTCATGAATATTGCATCTCTGGTTACACCCCAAAATGGTGTTTTACATCAAGCTGTAGGTTATACAGCAGCAAAGGCAAGGGAACCTGGATAATTTCATTTATGGACAACTTTTTGAGCACAAAAAAACACAACACACCTGATGTGCTTTAGCTGTGGCCAAATGTATAACATGGTCCAAGGGTTTGAAACAATGGAAAGCAGTGCAGCAGTATTTTATCCGTGAGTTTTACAGGATATAATAACAATCTGACCGGAACCTTTTTCATGCCAGAGAAACATAGTGTAGGCTACTACCTGAGGGGAACTGCTCATCATCAGCTCTATGAAGTTCCTGCGACTTCCCTTGGGTGTGTTGATATCTCCAACAAAGTCCAGCCCTTCCCAGGCGCTGTCTTCAGATAGGCAGCTGGTCAGCAGGGCCCGCTGGGAACCCTTGGACACCCTGCGGGCCCCTCTCACCTGCTGGCTGTGGGACCCTGCAGGGTGAGCATGGTCCACATCCGCAATCCCAATCACAGGTGCAGACTCCCGCCTTCTCCTCTCCCTCAGCTTCACCTCCCCACCTCCACCAGATGTCGGCGTATCCGCGTTGGTCTTATTATTCTGGGAGGGGGCTGCAGGTTGCCCATTGCCATTTGACTGTTTGTCATTGTCCATGCTGGCAGCCAAGGAGCTGGTTGCTCCTGTGGAACAATTTGTACATGCATTTTGTTATAGTCATCCAGCTCTGACACTGAATGAAGGAGTTGTCCCAATACAACATTTCCATTGATAATCTCATGGGTATGCACACGGCTAAACTTTTTATGTCTTTGTGTTGTCATTACCCTGAGTTACTGTAGAGTTTTTGTGATTTAGGTCGAAATCAAAAAGGTCCAGATCATTTGCTTTTGACAACTCCAGTCTAAGTCAGCATAGTAGCAGTAGTTGTAGTAGTCTTGACCTTCAAAAACAATGACACTTAAAAATGTGACAATCAGAGAGCCAATGCTTGACAATGCACTCTAAGCAAATATTTAAATATGTGAACACTGCGTTATAATTTTGCATTATTATAGCACATACGGGTTAAATGAAGTAACATGGGATTTGGCATTCCAGTAGGAGATTTTAAACAAATAAATCATGGACAAAGATAATCATAAACAACAACAATGTGCGTGTGACTCACCTGTTTGGTCTCCGGTGTTAGAGTTGCCGTTGACATAGCTGTTGTTGTCCAGTGTCTCCTGGATATTACCATTGCACTCCGCGTGATCGCGGCCGCCTGTGTCTGCACGCATCACCGACTCCGCGCTGCCTTCAGTGTTCAAACAAACAAATGTCACGCCGTTTTCCACCTTCACGAAGCCCACGTTGTCCACGATGCGTGTCAGCGCCTCGCGATCCACCCCTTCCTTCGTCTGGTCCTTTTCCCCCGAACCCGATAGGAAATGATCGATCAGCTCCATCTGTTGGACCCTCCCTCCCCTCTCCATCAGGTACTCCTGCACGGTTTGTTCCGTGCACGGAGACGCCATTGTCATGCTGAACGTCCCCAAACAGAGCGCAAAGATAGCGGAATAAAGTTACACGTTTCAAAATGACTCCATGTTCACGCCACTGTCATTCGTTTAGGTCAGTGACGAAGGGTGACAGCATCTTCCTCTTCTTTTTTCCTCTCCTCCACGGGGAGTGTCGAGCTGTGGCCGATAGGGGGCGCACGTCGGTAACTGAAGCAACCCATGCAAACGGCTCACCACTGCAAATATCATGCTGCGTTCATGTAATCCTCGTAAATGACTGCTTCAAATTACTAGCAAAGGAAAAGCAGTCGTTTTTTTGAGAATGCGGTTTTGTTTTTAGTGTTGACTGAGCTGTGATGGCGTGAGAAACTAGTGGAAACATTCAAAACTGTATTGGATGACTGAGTGTTAGTAGTCTTTTTAGGTCTCTATACATACGGGACAAAAGCACCATGACAACAAAAATGTACATCTCTTTTACTCTAAAACCCAAATGAATGACAGCATGGTCTTTAATACTAACGAATCAAGCTAACCAATGTCCTATTCTCATGGATTTTCTGGTAAACATTCATATTTGAAACCAAGCATCAACGTCACAATGGAGAAGATGTTGCGCGGAAATTGGCTTTACGATTTTTCTGACAGTCCGCAATGTGCCATGGAAGCGACTGGGAAAATTAAGTTGCGCTGTACCATTATACAACGAAGGGGTGGTTGGTGTATTACTGCAGTAAATTGACATCGTTTGGCGACATTTTCTTACACTTGTCGTGTATTTGATTCTTAAATAGGGTTACTGGATTACATTTCGGCCAAATTTACAGAATTTTTGCTTTAAAAGTAATTTACAAACTAAAGCTATAACCTCATTCCTATCTTATTTTTGAGTGGTCTAGCCTGCCCAGTTGTCGACCGTAGATGCAGTCCTAACGAAGGTTCTAAAAAAAAGAAGTGGTCTTTAGTTAGTTTTGTTGTATTATTTCTGAATTTATTTTAGTTGTTAACTTCTGGCCAAAACTATGGCTTCCTCTGATGTTGCTCGACAGCCGGTCAGTATTTTTTTCTTCTTTCCTGGTAGACAAGTGACAGTGTTCTTGATAGTTGAGTAGGGAGTGTCCATGGCTATCATTAAGTTAGCTACCGCTAGCTATACCTACTTACTGTTAAAGCTATCGAAACCACGGAAGTTTAAAGTAACTTATACACAGAACACATCATTCACGGAGACGTACATCGGGAACATCTAGCGGGGCTTTTAAACTAAACCTCTCAAAAGGGATTCAGTGTTACACCGGAATACACTGCGGAGGGCGCTATGTGGCTAACACTAAGCTAGCCATTCAACAGACAAAAGTTGAAGCAATAGTTGAAAATAGTTGTGGTGCTCCACCGTTAAACATTCCTATGCTAGAACCACTAGCTCAAAAGTATTAGGTCATGTTTTACTGGTAAGTTATGTATGCTATACAGCTGGATAAACGCCAACAAATACGGAATTAACATTTTTTTGGATGAAGTTCGGCGATCACGTAGTTAGTTATTTACTCCAACCAAGACATCTCGCCTAAGATAACGCTGAAGTTGTTCTCGAAACTAGTGTTTCTCAAATAGACAACATGGTTAATAATAATCAAATGTTGAAGCTCTTATCATGCGGAATTTAAAAATTGTAGCACATCATAACTAGGTCAGTGTTAGCCCTCTGCAGGTCAGGGGAGGACCATCGATTAACCACAGACTATTTAAAGTGAGGGGTTTGTTTTGTAGCTTGCACATTGAAAGAAATATACTATTTTATGATATATATATTTCCTCGTGTCAGTCTCAGCAGCTGAGATGCGGATTTTTAACTTTTAGAATATGTTTTTAGGTCTTTTTTTATATTTGTTGGACATTTCTCAGTTGATATTATCTATCATATGGAATTGGTTGGTTCAAAATATTGCCAGAATCTTCATTACTGTGCATCCGTATAACACAATTTAAATGTACAAAGTCGGGAAGTTGTGGCTTCGAATGCCTTAAAGTTCACTTTTACATTTCCATCATATTTCTTATTCGAGGAGAAAATGGCCTCTGCATCTTGAGACTGATCTGTCTTGTGCAATTTCCTCCCCAGAATAAAGGACTCCGACCCCTGGGTCTGGCGGGCCATGTGGGCTTTGACAGCCTCCCAGATCAGCTTGTCAACAAGTCCATCTGCCAGGGCTTCTGCTTCAATATCCTCTGCATTGGTATATTGTGACACACACACATACTCCTTTTAACTGAGTATTACATGAGTATTAGGTTGTGTTAGACAGTGGGGGGGGGTCAAAGAAGCATTGTGATGTGAAGGATCCTGCTGGTTCGTATCTCTCCACTAGTTGGTATATATGTGGTTGGGTGAATGGGTGATATCTCCTGTTCCTCAACAACTGCCATCACTGATTTGCTCCAATGCCTTGGTGTTGACTCATGCTTCCCCTAACTAATTTAAGTTTTAGGAATACTTCATTTAAGGCATTTTCTTTTGCGTCTTAAATGCCCGTCTCTGATGCTCGCACTCCTAAATTGGGTCCCAACCATAAAGTTCAATAACTCAAATTGTGTCTTTTTCTGTCTCCAGGTGAAACCGGTATCGGCAAGTCTACTCTGATGGACACGCTGTTCAACACCAACTTTGAGAACTTCGAGTCGTCCCACTTTGAGCCTCAAGTGAAGCTGCGGGCTCAAACCTACGACCTGCAGGAGAGTAACGTCCGGCTACGCCTCACCGTGGTCAACACTGTGGGCTTCGGAGACCAGATGAACAAACAGGAGAGGTGGGAGGAGGAGAGCGATTGTGAAAGAGTGAATGTGATTTAAGACTGTAAGAAACGTACGGCCATTATGAACCAATGTGTGTTAATCAGTCATAAAAACCCACATTTCTGATCAGCCCTACGTGTCTCTCCCCTGTAGCTATCAGCCAGTGGTGGACTACATCGACAGGCAGTTTGAGAGTTATCTACAGGAAGAGCTCAAAATCAAACGCTCTCTTCACAACTACCACGACTCGCGAGTCCACGCCTGCCTTTACTTCATCTCCCCCTCGGGTCATTCACTCAAATCCCTGGACCTGGTCACGATGAAGAAGCTAGACAGCAAGGTAGGAGAAGCATCACAGTGGAGATACAGACTGATCGTACTAATGTACCGTGGTTGTTTCTAGACTTTCCTCTAATGTCTGACTGTTGGGAGCGGTTCCCACTGACTAAACCCCTCCCTTCCCTCTTGAAGTGGTCACAAACTTTCCCATGCTCCCTGTGTGTAGTGACTTTGTGTTTTTTGTGCTCTTGTGTGAGTTCACCGCTCTGTGAGTGTCAGTAACCCTGGATTTGCGTGTGAATGGAGGAGAAAAGGCCGTCGGAATGTTGTAATCACCTCACGCATGCACACTCGAGTTGTCCTTTTGTGTCACTGTACGGACACACAGAAAGAGCCGTTTGTTGAATGTGCAGCACAGACAGTCAGTCACTCAGACAGCTGTTGGAACAGCTCTACGAGCATTGTTTTGTTTTGTATGTGTGTGTGTGTGTGTGTGTGTGGTCTGGCCCGGCCCAGACGCTTGTCTAGTGACAGCAACTCATTCCAAGCCTCTCTTTGGTACGACAGACAGACAGGACTGGAATGTGGAAGGACTTGGACAGCAGAGTGGGCTGCTGGGCCAGAAATAACATCAGTAGACCTGGTTTATGTAACACTTATCTAAAAGCAGTTTTTAAAGTATTTTAGATAAAGTAACAAATACCGGTGAAATAGTTTTGGTTGTACTTGCAGTCAGGACCAATGGAGGCCATTTGAATGTGTATCCATGTTTTTTCATTGCTTTGATAAGGCCTAAATCTATCTATCTATCTATCTATATCTCTTTTTACAGATCGCATGAAAGGTCTAATTTGTCTCTGAGGTCTTCAGATAATAGTATGTTTAATAATGAAGAAGAATCTGTTATTTCGTACGTGAACGTGTTTCCCCGTCTCGCTGTAGGTGAACATCATCCCAGTGATCGCCAAAGCCGACACCATCAGTAAGAGCGAGCTGCACAAGTTCAAGATCAAAATCATGAGCGAGCTGGTGAGCAACGGCGTCCAGATCTACCAGTTCCCCCTGGACGATGAGACCGTGGCTAAGGTCAACACGACTATGAACGTAAGGAAACACACACACACGTCCACTACATCACCTGGAACTGGAGCGATTCTATTTTCAAGTAGTTATGTATTTTAAAATAAGCTGTTCTTGTAGGGTCATTTGCCGTTCGCTGTAGTAGGCAGCACAGAGGAAGTCTCCGTCGGCAATAAGATGGTGAAGGCTCGTCAGTATCCGTGGGGTGTCGTTCAAGGTAAGACAGATCCGTCTTTGTTTCTGCGTTCTTCTACACAGCTGTGCTTGTGGTGCCAAAGATCTTGCAGGATCACATTGGAAAGATTAACAGATGTCCATTAAATCAGACCTACATTTCTCAATATTCAATATTTAGTATCAGCTGGTTGCCTAACCCTTCGATGTGTCTATGGGTGTGTGTGTCAGTGGAGAACGAGAGTCACTGTGACTTCGTGAAGCTGAGGGAGATGCTGATCTGTGTGAACATGGAGGACCTGAGAGAGCAGACACACACTCGCCACTACGAGCTGTACCGACGCTGCAAACTGGAGGAGATGGGATTCAAAGACACCGACCCCGAGTCCAAACCCGTCAGGTGAGCTCATGAACACCTGCAGGGACACAGTGAGGGGTGCATAAATTGACATGACTGACAACTGACCTGTGTGTGTGTTCAGCTTGCAGCAGACTTATGAGGCCAAGCGTCAGGAGTTCCTGGTGGAGCTGCAGAAGAGAGAGGACGAGATGAGGCAGATGTTCGTGCAGAGGGTGAAGGAGAAGGAGTCTGAGCTGAAGGAGGCTGAGAGAGACGTACGTAGACACCAACACCAGTACACTGTACTTCTTTTAATAATGTGATTACTGCAACATCTTTTCCCATTTAGTTTTTCACTCCTATGAATCATGAGGAAACCAAATATCATGAATGTTTTCATGATGTTTCTTCTTTTACTGGATAAAATCAAAGTCTTCCAGCAAAAGTCAATCTTTTTACAATTTCACATCTACTTTGGTTTTAGTGCGACGGAGGAAAGTCATTTGTTTTCACTTGTTCTTCTTGATACTAAATGAGGCGTCTCTGTGACTCAACTCTGTTGTTTTCTCTCCGCGTCTCAGCTGCAAAGCCGCTTTGAGCAGCTGAAGCGTCTCCACGCAGATGAGAAATCGTCTCTGGAGGAGAAGAAGAGACTCCTGGACGAGGACCAGAGTTCCTTCGGCAAGAGAAGAGCTGCCGCCCAGCTGCTGCAGGCCCAGAGCCTCACCGCCAACGGCAAGAAGGACAAAGACCGCAAGAAGTGAGAGCTGCTGTTTCATGATCAAGATCCATAGATTTATACACCTGAAGACAGTGAGGGTTTAGATCCAAACGTTTTCACTGATTAGTGATTCTAGGAAACTAGTGCATGAGGTGCAAAGCTCGCCACTTTTAGTGTAAGTGCACATTTAAGTTGCTCACAGATGATGGTGTGAGCGTGTGTCGTTATATGGAATTTTGCTGTAAACTCCCGCTTGTTGTCTCTAACAGTTCTGGCTTCATGTGAAGACGCTCGGATCTGAAGAACACTCCAGTATGACCAGTGACACTGAGGCCACGTCCTTCCCATTCCTCTGTGGCCAGTCTCCCACACTAACCAGACAAACGCCACACAAACCAGCAGTGTGTGAGTGTGTTTGTGCCAAAGTTTAATGTCTGTACCCTTTGTGTGTGTATACACTCTCCTTTATGGTATTTTTAATGGGTTTTATACCTCTCTGTAATATTTTATATTTATCTTTTCATTTTTATATAAAGCCTGTATTTTCCATATACTTCCCTGTTTTTATTTTACAGTGTATTGGACCTCTCACAGCCTCCTCACTAGATGCTGTTTACATACAACACTACATTGAAAGGAACATCTTCACTTCTATTTAATCTGCCATATGTCTAGTGTATAATACGAACACACTTATTCTGTTGTAATGCAGCCTTAAGACTTTGCTAATGACAACAAAGCCATCTTTGATATGCTTTTTAATTTATTATGAAACCCCTTTCAGACATGTGCTCCATAAGGAGATTTACATTCTGGTTTCTAGAGTCTACTCGTCATGAGAGGCGAGTGGCTCATTAATGAAACGTCAGCGATAAACAATCCGTTTTCCATAGTGTGAGCACTGCAGCTCTCTGTGTAATAGTCGTTACAGAATAATGACTCCACGGAGACCTTTTGATATTTAACGGATGTGGAGCTAAATGCAGCGGTGTAACAGAACTCGTGTCTGAAAAGGGCTGAACTGATCGTTTCTGAAGGGCAGTTTAGTGCATTCATCAGTAAGGGTGGGCATAATCATGGTCACGGGCATTATAATTACTCATCCTTTTTCTGTATACGGTCTGATTTCTTTTCTATCATTGATGCTATAAACTTTAACTACGAGCACACCAGCGTCACACTACTTCTCCTGTTGCTGTTCCAACGGGACGTCTCTTGTCCAGGTTTCTAGGAGGTTGGGGCTGACGCTTGGTTTTGGATTCCGGTACATGTAACAGCATATATTTATACATATATACATATATATATATTGTGTTTGTCTTTTTTTTTTTTTTTGTGCTCCCTTATTTTCCTTACTGACACAAGCCGTTGAAGTTTGCTATGCAGTCTGTCTGAAAAGCGCTGACTCGTGGGAAGTCTGTGTTTGTTGAGAGAGTGCAGGGAAAGGGAGAGAATACCTTTGTGACTGTATTTTAAAAACATTTCTCTATTCACTTGTGTCTGGATGATGAGACAGGGTTTCACACCTCGAAGCATTTAACAGTAAAGGGTGATTTACAAATCATCGTTTACTGCCACTTTATATTTTACACTAGTGCTTAATATGTGTTACTGCCTTATCTGTGTGACGCTTACTTAGAAATAAACTGTCCACCTAACTAGTACATCCGAGGAAACACACCGATGCGTAATGGAGTAAAGATGTCAATGTCACGTTTGTACTACACTTGTATTTAAGGAATTAACAGTGTTATTTGGGAGCTTTTTTTCCTCCTCCTTTCTAAATAAATCTTTGTATTTTTGTCATGATACACTCTGCCTGTCTGTTTTCTTCTCAAAGTATGGTGTCTTATGTCAGCTTCTTTTTCCTTAATTAAATAAATATATTGTATGTATTATATTTCATGCAGTTTTATCACAAGGATCCTAACATACTGATATATCAAGCACCTGTACTGGGAAATTTAAGTACTGTTTTTCTCCATAGTTCAGATGATCTTCTACCGGTTGTCAGTGGTGGTAGTAGTATCATGCTGTACATTAGTAAACAGAAATACCTGTCTATGATATATTGTACTCTGTTACTAGTTCTGCATTCAGACAGTGCAGTTTTCAGTGGATGCGTTTAGTTACTTTTTACCAACTTCGTTATAAAACAAATACAGTGATTAAGTATCCAAACTTGAAACGCCTTCACTCATAGACTTGTACTCCCTTCACGTAGTTCAGTGTGTACTTTTCATGCCATCACAGATAAAACTTGGTTTGCAAAACATTTAACATAAAAGCAAACCATGAGACAAATCCTGTTCGTGCATTGTGAGGTTAAAAATGACGCATTGGTTGGTCACCTGGTGTTTGCCAAAAAATGGAAGAGAAGGAAAAGCAGCTGTGGCATTGAGAAGTGCATGGACTAAGGTGTCTAACCAGTCGATCCATTTCCAGCTTTAAGAACACACTACTTTTTGGAACACATTTTTAGTGCTTGTGTCACCTACTCAGGACAACTGGACTGTTTGTTTCTAGCAAAGGCACCAAAGGAGAAAAAGTGTGAGGCATTTCTAGACTGATGTAAGACCCACAGACCTCCCGACTTAAATCCTCTCCACCCCTGTGATTCATCTTACAAGAAATGTCTACTGGAGAGACGCTTCCTTCCCTTTTATCAGAAGGTAAGAGGAGAGAGGATGATCACAAGCTCCCCTTTTTTTGCTTTTGAGGAAGATTTAGGAGACAGCAGCAGCTTAACATTTTTCCTGCCCACCACTTTACATTTGAACACGCACACACAAAGGGACCACCCTGAACCGCCTGGTAGAGGTCCTGTTCCCTGCAGTGTCTTACCCTCCGGCTCTTTTGCCCTTCATGTGACTCGCAGCCTGGCCCACAGACAGGTTTGGCGTAAAGCAGAGGAATGCTGATCGATTCCCTGCAGGGGCCTGCGGCACCTGGCAGGTTGGGAAGAGGACGCACCCCCGAGGAGATTTCACCAAGGCAAACTGTGCAAAAGTGTGTGCGTGTGTGTGGATGTGTGCCTGTGTACAGACATTGTCAGCTTCTCTCTGAGAAGTGGTTATCTCCCAGTTTTTCCTGCCAGAGGGGAGAACTATCTCTGTTCAGCAGAAATCTGAAAAATCGAAATTTGCTGCCTGCCTGCTCGCCTTAAATATAGCAGTTTGAGTTTGTGTGTTAGTGTCAAGTTTTCCTGTGTGCACTTACACCCAAGATAGCTGTCACCTGCACTCACAGACACACACACACACACACACACACACACACACGCACACAGTCCAGTACATGTACCCTTGTCACCTTTTGCTAGTCACTCTAAATGCAAATGTAGGTGATCGTTGAAGACAGGCCCGGCTGCTGGAGAGATGAGGTTGTCATTTAAGGGGAGTGCCGGCGACGCTCTGAAATTACCAATTACACACCTCGTCCATGCCAGTGTTGGCTTGAGAACACAAGAGAGACGGAGGGGGGAGAAGGAGGGGAGAAGATGGGGGGAATGATGAAAAGACAGTAAGAGTGTCAGCTTTATTTCTAAACATCCCTTACTAGCAATGTAATGATAATGACGGTAATACACTCTGTCAGACTGCTGTACCTGTGCTGCTCATGAGGCTTCATAAGCTCATAATGAGCGAGTGCAGATAATTATAATTAGAGCAGGATATGATTCTCAGGATGAATCCTCCAAAGGGCAACTGTAAAATCCTGATGGGTTGTACAGGTAATGTGTTTGTTGTTCATCAGAGTACACAAGTGTATATTACTGCCTCTCACTGCCTGTGTTACCTTCATTATAAAGCTGCGGGCAGATGCAAAAAAAAAAGGACATTGAAAATCTGTTTTTAAAACAAAGGCATTTATTGCGAAAAATGCACTTGACATGAAAAAACAATCAAATCAACCACGGGTCATCGGTACAAGACGATGCATAATGATCACATGGTAGAGAGCGCTGCATGGCCAGCGCAGAGCATGACTTCAATGGCACAAAAGGCCTATAAATATTCTGCACAATATAGAATAATATATATACTTTTTTTCTGTTTTCCTCGCCGTACCGCTGTTTTGAACCCAACTCAGTTGCGATGAGGCGTGAGTGTCCACGCCGCACCACTTTTTCATAAAGTTCCTTTTTTATGTAAAGAGCTACATACAGAGGCCCCCTCCCCTCGTACACGCACGCACGCACGCACGCACGCACACGCACACGCACACACACACACGCACACACACCATAACACCCACACACACACAAGTATCCATAGGAACAAATATGGCCGACATCTAATTCAAGATGGCAGGGTGGGTGCTCAAGCTTCCTGGAAGGACAAAAAAAGGAAGTGGACAGTAATTTGCTATCAAGTCCAATAAAAAATAAATAAAAAATTGCTTGTGCAATGTTTTGTGTTGAGTTCATGTCCAATGGGAATTACCACTGCTGTTGATGGCTTTACAATTGTTCACAAGAGGTATTTACAACCAGGAAGCTTGAGGCGAAAGACAAAGTGTACATCACGTAAATAAAAACACAAACGACATGTGTGTGTAACCAGCGGCTCAAGATATTCCATGTAAAGTGACCACTGTGGTTTTTATTCCTGATGTTTTGACGGTTGTAAACTCTCCTCCTCCTCACAGCATCGACCTTGTGAAAACAAATGAAGACAGTCGAGATCCTTTGACCTCCGACACAAACGAGGACTTGTGCTTTAAGTTTGACTCAGTAGAAATTAGAGTCCTCTTTTCAGCGTACAAACAGATGAGGGAAAACCATAGTGAGGGGTTTTTGTGCAGAGCTGTTCTGGGATCTGCTGGTTGTTTTTGACAAACGAAGCAGGGCTGCGAGAAGGACAAGCAGCAGGCTCACTGTACCGATAAGAAGAGAGAAAAAGTAAGGATGAGACAAAAGACGGATTGGTCTGCCTGGTGTAAATACTCTGTGTGTTGGTATTTGTAGGCACTAGGATTTGACTGACAGGTTTTGAAGGCCAATGAACATATTTTTGGATTGAAGCTTCCAATAACTAATATCCAAAATTTGACATTTCGTTTTGACCCTTTTTATCGAAAATAAACCGGATTTCTTTTTTTAGCTGAACTATAACACTTAATTAAAAACACCGCAGATATCATAGTCTAGTACAATTGTGTGAAATTGTATTGAATACACAAAATTGACAAAATTGATCAATCAAACATTAAATTTGTAAAGAATCAAAGCGGCTGCTTCATATACATGATTCTAACTGAAAAAGCCATATTTGTCAGAATAGCCCTAGTTTGTTTGTTACTGCACGTTTGTGACGAAGATAAATCTAATTTGCAGTGTTTTTGGTTTCATTTGTTGCCCATACTGCACTGCCAGCAGCCAGAGGATGATTGCAGACCGTGCTGTAAATCACTTAAGTTCATTTCCATGTTTTTGTTCACTTTCCTTCACAGTTTAAGAGATCGAGTTCTTTTTCCCACAATCTAAAAATTGGGATTAAAACACATCAAATCTCAATGACAGGCCACCCCTACTTTAAGTTCAAGGTGAACATGAAGACATTAAAAATAACATTATTTTTTTTACAATAAATAAAAGTTTGCTACTGCTCTTTCTCAGTAAGAAGTATTACACACAAAGGAATTACATGGACACAAAGAGAAGAAAAGGTCAATCATGTAACTACATTATCAGACCATGAATCTAGTGAGAGAAAACTTGTGGTATTAAACTGCATTTTCGAGTCAGACTTTGTGTCGGCAACACAATATCTGTGTTGTGCTTGTTTCGACTGCGGAGAGCTTGTAGTAAAGTCTCACATCTGAGTGTTTATTCTGCAGTCAACATATGGGAATAAGAAATGACTTAAGTTTCCAAACTGCTTTGACGCTGCAACATCTTGTTGACTCTGAGAAGCTTTTCATTGATGAAATTCAAGAAAAGCAGTAAGTCATTTTGTATTTACATGTACGTATTAGTTTATTTATTCCTTTCTCGTGACATGAATGGTGTTCACCGAGAACATAGAAGTGTGCTTGGCCAATGACAGACTCTCACCTGGTTATGACCCAATTAGACATTTCTGTGCTCAGCCAATCAGTGAGCCTCACCCGCGTGCACATGGCCAGTAGTTGTTTGTGCTTCATTCTGGCTCAGTTCTTAAAAACAGCAGGTGAGGTAAACCATTCATGATCTCTGTTCTTTCACTGATACATGTCCGGTGTTACTCTCTGACACACACACACGCGCACACACACACACTCACTCACACAGATAAACACACTCACACACACACACACACAGTTAGCAAGTCAAGCTCTGGGTTTTGCTGTGCTTCTATCTCCAGAAACAGGGAAACAAGGTAGATGGTTGTGGCTGGATGTAAACTAGACAAGCCGTGATCCACACTCACAAATTCACAAAGCAGACTGACTGTACACTCGCTGAGGCCGTACAAAAATACTCGTCAGAGGTTGACAAGATCAGAGGAAAAGTTGTTGTCAAAGGTTGGCAGTTGTGTGATGAGAATCTTGTGTCTCTGCCTTCTGACTTCAGGTGTTTTCCCGTCGACAGTACATTCGTCTGTGAGCATCGAATCCACACACATTTGGTTTCACAATATTGCTGCAATCAAACGAAAACTCTCAACGGTTGAGAAAAGGCTGAGTAAGAGGAATTACTGTCAGCAAGAGTGTATTGTATTTCTGATCTCTGGATTAGTTATTTTATATTTTTTGTTGGTTTGTTTAGGAACTTTACATTATGACTAAAATGGCTGGATTGAGACTTCTGTCCTCACCAAATGGTTTGTGCATGTTTAAAAAAAAAAAAAGGATGTGATAAGTAGCACCGGAAATACCGTTTGTCAAATAAATAATTACTGAGTGTGTAAAATACTGTATGTGTAGTTATGGCAAGTTGTATTAAATATTACCAAGTGCATTCTTTGTCTCTATAATCCATAAAAGATCAAAAGACATCTTTATCAATACAAATCAATTCTTTAGAGAGTTTGGCGTAACTTGTTTGTTTCTTCCTACATTCAGCAAACCAGTTTATTCAGTTTATCCCAAACATGGGGGTCTATAAAGGTCACATTTTAAGTTAAAAACAGCTTTATGAATGTATGTAAGTTATATAAATAGAAGAATGAGTCACCTAATTCATATTTCACCTTTTGTTTTGTGACATATCATCACAGCATGACTAGTTTGGGACAACATATATGTCAACATATATATATATATATATATATATATATATATATATATATATAAACAAAAAATAGAATAATGCTACATGCATTGTTATTAACATATATTGAGTTGGTAAGAAACAAATGTGCTTGTTGTCACAAACTAGACATGGAGATGTGCTTACAATGATCCTGGACTGTAGGCTCACACACTTCCCTCATCACCTGGCGGTACATCTACTCTTTTCAAACAAAGACAGCACCCAAATTTAAGTTCTGAGGTCTCAGTGGAAAGCAGAGCTAATGCTTTTTGTGCTAGTGTTTGCTGGTGGATGATGCCAAGGAGGAGAACTGGGAGGCAAGGGTTTGTCTTTCTGTGCTCTTTAAGTCTGTGTGCCTTCAGTAGTCAACATCATGGGTCCAACGAAGTCTGCTGGAGCCCCTCTGATACAAAGCTGGGCGAGAGACGGGAAAAGCTGCCCTGCTCCCTGTGTGGCTGGTCGAAGCCGGGGCTAGCTTTCCTGTATGTGTGTGTGTGTGTGTGTGTGTGTGTGTTTGTGTGTTTGAATTGGTTGGACCGATATAGGTTTCCGAAGACAATTACTATTTATGATGTTTTGTGCCAGTATTCAATAGATTTTAATTTGACTTAAGTTTTCTGTTGCAGTATCTGTCTTTAATCCGAAAGTATGATTCATGGAAACCAATGTCGGTCCATCCTTCGTGTGTGTGTGTGTGTGTGTGTGTGTGTGTTTTGCGACTCAGAAACAGGAACATTTTTTTTGTTCTTTTGTCCACTTTTTCCAGTTCAGAAGCTCTCGACGAAGCTGCTGGGAAACAGGCCGGTCTGTCCTGTCCTCTGCAGGGTGCCTTTGTACCAGCCGTCCTCCCTCTTCTTGTAGACGAACACAACGTCCCCTTCCCGCAGCTCGATCTCCGCCTCGCTCTGGGGAGGGTAGGGCACCACCGCACGATACCTGCCACACACAGACACAGCTGTAGCACACACACACAACGGCGTGGACTACATCACATGCTGAAAGCATTTAACCAGTGCAGGTATGAGTGGAGACTCTCAGTATGTTCCCAAGTATAGACAGCAGTGTGAATTATGGGTAAAAGGAAATATCGACTCTGGGATTCTCCGGAACCCGTCAATATGTTTAATGGATTTTGAAAATCTCTCTCACATACACGCACCCACACACACACACACACACGCTTGTGCCAGTTATGTTAGATCAGTGCAACATGCAAAATGCACTAAAATCACGCGCTCCGAGGCCTAAACAAAATGCCACACAAGTCGGTAATGCAGTGACAGTTCATTCAAAGTTTAGTACCTGAGAGTGTCAAATTTAACACATTAATTCACATACCTGCAAACTCATAAGAGGTGAAAAAGGTGACAAGCACCCGAACCCGAGACCCGGCGCAGGGGCATGTTCCACCGGGAGAATTTTATTTTAAATATGAGCTTTAAAATGCAGCATTCTGGTGTACTCTGAGAAATTAAGTGATAAGACATTTACTTTAAGCAAAAAACTAATTTATTATTCAGTGATTAATCAGTATTTCAGCTCTAGTTGAACAGCTGGCTAGTTAGCTTTTTTATTTTTTTCAATCAATATTATTATTATCATTTCGACAATATCCATTGAGACCGAGGTCTCATTTTTGAAAAGTTTTAATCATATAAAAAGAGATAGCAAGAGTAGCGAGAACCATCGCCTGTACCAAATAAAGTGATTCGTTTTCATTGAACCCTGTTACTGTATGGCTTCATATTAACTTCCACTGTTACTGTAAAGCTGTTAGAATTGTGGTCCATCTTCTATTTGCAATTAATATGCATTCAATCCAGTTTAATTATTTAAATTAAAATGATAATCTACTCTGGCTGAGGTAGTTTATCAAGAGTAGAATAGCTGTAATCTATACACACCTCTGCATTAACAACCCGCTGAAATGAAGGTACAGGCACCTTAACACTCTTTCTCATTACTTCAGGGCCCTTGGGAGCAACTGTACCTGGGACTGTTGGGACTGTTAGTACACTGGCTGTGGTCATTACAGTGAACAGTGTCTGGCAGTGTGATGAGAGGGCATGTGAGCCCGTGTTGCTGTACTTTATCTCCTTGGAGCAGAGGCTGCATTTAGCATACCCTGCCTTATCAATGTATTTAAAACACTGACAGCAGGAAGCTGTACCCACGTCTGTTTAGACCTCCACCTTTATCCAGGCCCAGCTCATTCACAGCTCAGCCCTGCGTCAAGCTGGCAACGCAAACAGCCTCCTCTTCCTGAATCGCCTCATTCTACTTTGAGTTAAAAAAAACAACCTGCAACCAGATGCGCCCGTGTTCCGGTTTAACGTTAATGAGTGACCGCGTGAACTGCACCGGAACACGAGGTGGGGTTGCATGTTTCATCACGTTACGTTTTTTCCTCCTAAATCGCGATAATGATGAACGTTAACAGGTGAACTTAATGATGAACTTAAACTGTAACGGAGGGAAATGAAGACTGTGTAGACATCTTAACGCTGTCTGGCCAAGAGAGGTCACATCAATGATGTTTTATTGCGAAGATCACGACATCACCTTTTCTCCTTGTCTTATTCCAATCTGAGAAACGCTGGCTGGCCAGTTGACAGTGGTTCAGCATCAATCTTTGTTATGACCGATGACTCTGGGTTTGGTAGTCTTTTACTAGACGCCATGCTGGTTTGTAGTCACAAACATGTTGTCTCAAAGCATGTGTTCCGTCAAAGATGCCATGACATCACTGTGTTCCATGTGTGAAACGGTGCGAGAGTCGGTCTGCTCCCTACGCCAACCGTCAACCCGGGAAACGGTGCGAGAGTCGGTCAAGAGTCGGTCTACTCCCTACGCTAACCGTCGACCCGGCAAACGGTGCGAGAGTCGGTCAAGAGTCGGTCTACTCCCTACGCCAACCGTCAACCCGGGAAACGGTGCGAGAGTCGGTCGAGAGTCGGTCTACTCCCTACGCTAACCGTCAACCCGGGAAACGGTGCGAGAGTCGGTCTGCTCTCTACGCCAACCGTCGACCCGGGAAACGGTGCGAGAGTCGGTCGAGAGTCGGTCTGCATCCTACGCCAACCGTCGACCCGGGAAACGGTGCGAGAGTCGGTCTGCTCTCTACGCCAACCGTCGACCCGGGAAACGGTGCGAGAGTCGGTCGAGAGTCGGTCTGCTCCCTACGCCAACCGTCGACCCGGGAAACGGTGCGAGAGTCGGCCTGCTCCCTACTCCAACCGTCGACCCGGGAATCGGGGCGATAGTCGGTCTGCTCCCTACACCAACCGTCGACCCGGGAAACGGTGCGAGAGTCGGTCTGCTCCCAGTGAATCACTGATATAGCTTGAAGTGGGCCGGTACTTTCCAGACCGCAGTACCACTTGTACATTTTACTCTTTGGCATAAAGTGACTTTTTACTTGAGCACCGACACTTTTCACTAGGTGTCGGTGCTCCTTTCAGCCCTCTACATATCAGGTTCTCTGGGTGATTGAAGATCAAACGGGGCAGCAACAGTGTTTTATTGTGAACCTCAACATTATTTTATTATTTAGTTTTCTGAATCTTTTAAATTGAAGAATGATGGTACAAACTTCATCAAAAAATAACACAGGGAAGTACTAAGTATTAACACTATGGGTAAATATTAATAATATCAACACCACCTTTACCTGTAATGTTTCAGTTGGAATATCATCAAAAATGTCTGTAAGGCACTTTGAATTTTTTTATATTTTTGAAATATGAAAGTATGAAATGCCTTTTGCTTTTACCAAGGCAATTAATTCAATAATAGTAGAAAAAAATTATCAGTAATTTAATAAAGTGAATCATTGTTTGCCGCCATAGTTATGATTATAAGCAAACATTGAAAAACAAAGCTGTATGTGTGCCAAAAAGATGAGAGAGAAACACACACACACACACACACACACACACACACACACACACACACACGCACGCACACACACACAAGGAGCAGTGTGCATGGTTTGGTGCAATAACCAGTGCTCCCAATACATCAGCATCCTGCTGCCAGTAAGGGACATGCAACCATTAAATCCTGATTTAACAGGTTTCCACTGAGGGGTATGAAGTGTGTATTTGTATATGTGTGTGTGTTTGTATGAGAGCAGAGCTTGAGTCTTTAAGGCTACTGGGTTGTGTATTGTTGTACCACTCTGGGATAAAAAGTGTTGCGCCTGGGGGACCTTAGCTCACATATTGTGAGTAGGTATTGAATCCCAGATGACGCAGAAAACAAGGACATGAATGGTGGCTTATAGGCTTCCAAGTCAAAACTATCACCTTTTTTTTAAAGGTTATTAGCATTATTAAGAGCAAGATCATCATAATGTCATTATGTGTGGTTGTGTGTGTGTTTGCCCACCTCTCTCTGGACAGGGGTTTGGGTTCAGGCCGGAGGGCCATCAGAGCGTTGACGGCACGTGTTGCCGGAGGTGACATGGGGAAGTTGGTGTCCAGGGAACCGGACTTCCTGTGCAGGGGCTCCAGCCCAATGGCCCCCGCCATCTCACTCTCGATTGGACAGGAGCCGGCCCGCCCCTGTGACGCCATCGGACAGGAACCTGAGCGGGCGTGGTGGTGGTGGTGAGGATGGTGGGCAGGGTCGGCACCATGACCAGCCAATGAGGGGTCACGGGTGGGCGGGGAGGAGGGAGGTGAGCGAGTTTTCTTCTTGGCTGCCGCCCCCGACAAGAGCTTTAATAAACCACCTGCTTTCCTCTCCTTCTGATGATGGATGGAGTGAATGGAGAGGATGAGGGAGATATACGAGGAGATGGAGAGCAAATAAACACAGATGCCGGTGAGACATACAGGAATATATGTTTCATAAAGACTCTCTTGAAAAGTGACAAGATTGTAATGAAAATGGTGTTTGTGTAAACAATACCTCTACAGAATATTTGCTTTTGCTTTTCTCGATATGAAAAAAAATCACACAGAGCACAAATGCCCTCCTGACACATTAATCAAAAAACACATCTATGAAACAAATAGAAAAATATTTTCCAACTGACACAAGATACCGCTGATAATAAAAGCACATTTGTTTCATCAGAGGGCAGGCAGTAAAGCAAGGTGAGCTGTGTCCTTTCAATACTCATATGGACAGAGTCTTAAGAATTCGGAATGAGAGATTTAATGTCTTTTTTATGCTGCTGCTTTGGTGCTTTGGTAACAGTGAGGTCATTCCTCTTTACAAATGCTCAATTTTTCCTCCTTTAATTAAAGATGGGATGTACACATATTTGCCTTTTTTTCAGGGGGTTAGATGATCAATATCACTCTAAAGTCTGTACGCTAAATGTTGAGCTGGAGCCAGGAGATAATTAGCTTAGCATAAAGACTTTAGAGGAAGATACATGCTGTATCTACAGTTTATTCATCCACCCAGTACTTCTGTGCAGCATATCTGCTGGTTGACTAGCAATCTCAGATTAAATGGCAACTTCCTGTGAAAGTCGCGAGTTGTTGTCTCGACATTTCTGTTTGTGTATGCATAAAACAAACAAGATACAACTTGTTAATAAGTGAGCTGTGGATGTAAGTGGTAGCTGGATTTTTGTGCTTTTTAAATGTTTTTAAATTAAACTAGTCCTTGAAACCAGTGTATGCGGACACATAATTGCATGGTAGGGCTGAGACTACAGAGCGAGTTCTCTGGGTCTCCCATACGCAGGAAACCAAAAACAAAATCACTGCAAATTTGTGAGTTATAGGAGAACGGACAGATAAATTGCATCTTTTAGAACAAAACAAAAAAAATTATTTACATGGCAATGTCATGTGGGCTGTTTTCTAAGAGCAGAACAAGTAGATTCGGGTCAACTATCACATCAAAATGAAAGCGGCAGCTTGATTCTCCTCTGCTTCAACCTTCTGACCTTCACTCACAGCTCAGGGAGAAAAAAAACAATGGTAATGGGAGTAGTTACTACTCTGATACGCAGAAAAGTAAGTAATGTTCACAGTATGAATGCCTGCAATGCGTATTTTGAACAGACAGGTAGCAAAGTGGTCAGTTAACGATCCTTCAAGCTGAATACATGTGCGTCTACCGTCTACTGCGGTAGAATAATCTGTATTGTTTCTTAATGGCACCTATGAAGGCAGAGTCACATTTTTCCATTCATGCTTGATTATAGAAAGGCTTTACAATGCTGCCCATTCAGTCGGACTCAATGTGATACCAGGTGCACAAAACATGTCTCTTCTGCCACTTGGCCTGATTTTACAGTCTCAGTCATGACACCGTGGATCAATACCGAGCATGCCTGAGCATAATTAAAACATTTTTTTTTTTGTCGATGCATGGAGCCTCCATATCAGCCCTGTCTCTCCCTCAGCCATCTGTTTCTTTTACACATGGGCTGCTGGATCACGAATCTCTTTTTTTGAAATTGTTTTCCATCAAGCGCTGACTTTTACGATGCTGTGATGGACAGTTGCAAACATGAACGCTAAAAAACAAAATTAAAAAGTCACACTGAATCTTCAGTTATTATTTGTCTGGAAAGACTCTTAAACAGTCAAGTCACAGCAGGGAACAGCAACCTTTTTGATACGAAGTGCCGTTTTTTTATTTCCTTGTTAAATCAGTGAGCCATGTCGACATTAACGCTAACATTAAGTTTGATTATGACACGTTAATCTCCAACGGATCTGAGATTTTATTCCATCCATAATGACAACATACATAGCAACATTTAAAAGATTAAAAAACGTTTTTCTCCCATAATCAGGACATTGTAATTATATATGAGAGCACTTTACAAGCAGGCTGCAATCTGAGTTGAAATCATTAACCCTACACCAACCTTCCACCAATCTTGTTCATCAGCAATAAATTTAACCAATTCTGCAAAGAAGGCAACGAGTTCTAGCCAATCAAAGGCAGAATGGGGCGGGTGAGAAAAAAAAAAAAAACTACTTTAAATAATAGGCCGCCAACTGCCATGGCTGTGAAAGAGGACATTTGGCATGCAGAGAGAAGAAGGATGCTATCCTTATGCGAGATATCAGAGCAAAGCTCTTTTCTCAAAGATTTGCTGTTGTCAGGTTCATTTGTTTATGTGTGTGTGAGCCCTCAGCTCCCACCACCTGAACGTGTAAAGACATTGTAAGTGCAACCCTTGTGACTTTGATCATTAATGGTTAATTAATGAGTTCTCTCTTCACATCTCTTTTTATCTCCTTTGCTCCAGTTTCTGAACCGACAGTGAGAGCTCATCTTGAGATAATCGTAATCATTAATCTTAATCTTTAATCAATAAAGGAAAAATCTACATTTTTTAGATATATCTATATTTATTTAGCACAAATTTTTCCGCCCAGCTGTCAAACCAAATTTGCAAGCCTTTCGAGTTGGCTCCGTTGTACAGTCAACTACTGAACTAGGTTTAAAGCAAACCTGCCTGTGCTTCATGACTGCTGTAAAAAGTTGTCAGAAAAGATGGAGGCAATCAAAGTGATCATCTGTCAGAGAAAAAGCCAGACCTCAGGAAAACAGAAAGCACAGCACTGCAGAAAGTTTTCTGAAAGAAACGACAGAGTACACCTCCTATGGCTTTGGGCTGCAACTAACATTTTATTAATCCATTCATTATTTTTTGATCAATCAATTAATTGTGAAAAATATAAAACAACAGCCGTGAAAAAATTCCAGAAGCTCAAGAAATCAAATAATTAAAGAGGGTCTTAATGACCAGTCTTAGTCATATGAGACAGCAAAGAAAAAACAAAGGACAGAGCAAGAGAGGCTGTAAACCCTTTGACTCAGCAGACCCAAAATAAACAGCATTCCTTTCTCCTGCACTCCAATACCTGAGCTTTATGTGTATTTCCCTAAATACAAAGACTTGATCATTTCTCACAGGATTAGAAACGTGTAAATCTAACAATGCTCACTGTCTGGAGTGTACACATAACATATTCCACCGCTTTGGAAACATGTCATGCAAATACAGCTTGTTTGAATTTTAATTTGGGAGAGGAAGGAGAAGATGGAGTGGAAAATAAAGATGAAGAGAAGGGGAGAAAGGGGTGAGATACAGAGGGAGAAAGGAAAGGACAGGGAGGGACTCAGAGAGGGAAATAGGTGGAAGAGAGGGCAGAAAGAAGGAGAGGAAAGGTGGAGGGACAGGAAGAAAGCAGGGAGGACAGAGAGAACAGAGAGATCGAGAAAGAGAGAAGGAAGGGAGGAGGTGGGACTGAAAGCAGCAGACAAAAAATGAATAATTGCTCCCTCTCCTCTTTCATCTGGAGGCTTAAAGGCTTAATCTGCCTCCCTGTGTGTACGCACGCCTGTGTGTGTGTGTGTGTGTGTGTCCGAGTACATGAGTCAAGCTGCTGCTGAACCACCAGGTGGCAGCATGCACTCACAATTTAATCCGTTACACAATTTAAATCTAATTTAGGACCAGAGGAGTGCCTTGCTCTGCAGCACACGGGCAGGATACTGGAACGGAACTGTTGTGTTTTCCTCCTTCCTCTTTGTTCGTTTTACATACTGGTGCACAAATAAATAGTATCTATGCTTTTAAGTGTGACGTTTTATTTCGTTCCAAAGAAAAATTGCGCGCACACACATACAATAATCTAAAAGCAATCTAGGAAGAATCCAGTGTTGAAGCCATTGATGAAGGCAGGTTTTGAGCTTAACCTTTCAGAAACGCAGACGCGTTACGATATTCAGGATTGAGAGAAATGAAGGACTGAACCACAGTTTCTGTCCACCCCCCATGGGAATCATGGTAACTCCATATTTTTCTTGATGTTGTTGTCTAAACTCAAAGCCGTTAATACTGTTCAGTCAAACATAGTCTCTCAAGACATTTTGTGACTCTCTTCTGGAGCTACTGAAATTCTGACAGCATTTTAGTTGGCAGCTACCCTGCAAGCGCAGACTTCTTGGAAACGCTCTCCAAACACATCTCAATGTCCAACGTGATATGTGTCTGGGATGCTGGCTGCATGCGCTCCAGACAGTGTGACAGTGTGTCGAACAGAGATTACCCTAACTGTGTCTGCCAGACAGTTATCATAGCTGCTTCATCGTTTCCTCTGTAACAAAGACTGACTCTGTGCAGCCTCGTCGCCACCCTGACTTCAAACCTGATGTTTCTGCTCTGCCAGGCTCAAAGCCACAAAGGTAAGTGCTGTGAACGAGGGTTAGGCTGACATTTTATAAAGGGATAATACGATCTAATATTTTGGGACCAAGGCAGACAACAGTTGATTAATTGTGCCCATACTCAGTATCTTAAAAGTGTATCTACTGACTTAAAACTAAAAACAGAGATGTATTCTGCTTTTCCTCAATAATCTTAATCTTGTCAGTCAGTAAAAGCTTCCGAAACAGCATTTAGATCATAATTGGAAGCTACAACTAAAGCCAAATCCATATTGAGAGGTTGTTTTGGGTAGAGTAGCAGCTCATTTAGTCTGAGTAAGGCAGGATGTCACTAGCAAACTAGAATGAATTTGAAATAACAAACAACAACACATTTCGTACTAAGATGAGAGCATTCTTTAATATCAGAATGACAGTTGGAGCACTTTAACTGCCCTGTTCCAACTTTTACGAGATATATTCAGTATATGAGTAATAAACCTGAATCCGGTTTGAGCCATCTTTGAGTGTGACGATGTAAACAAGCCCACTGCCTGCTGTTCCATAGTCAATGAGCTGTTTGTCAGCTAGCCATAGATTAGCTGTCCCAGACAGTGGAGCCAACAGTGAAACAAATGGAGCTGAGACAGATGCAAGCTTTCGGTGCCATCCTTCACTGTCAGCGCAGCCCGATTTAACATCCACAGCTTTACCGCGGCAGATCTCACAACATAAGATGGCATTCGGCATTTGTGCCAGATGCCTGGGTGAATGACACTTGCTGAGGTAGGAGAGGAATTCTGGCACATCATACACACACAACAGATTTTCACACAAAGCCATGTGAAGTTTGGAGGACTAAACACCTTTTTTTAAGCTGAGGTGATGGTGTTAAAGTTAATCAAGTTAATTAAAAAAAGTATGGTGAGTTGTATTTACAGGATGACTAAAACATCTGGAATCAAAGGAAGTAGTGGCACTATGTCATTTTTCCTTTCACACTTTATTTTTTATATATTTAAATATACTATTTGTGCACTATAGCTGAGTGAGTGGTATGCAACAAGAGGGATTGTGTTCTTTTAACGGAGGTGTTGACTTTCACAGACTCAATATTTGTTTTGTTATATTGAATTCCCTGCTCGGAAAACAACAGTTGCCTGACTGGATATTGTCATCAATAATGACGGATTTAGAGCTGAAACAATTACTCGAATAACCAATTAGTCGACAGACAGAAAATTAACCTGAAAGAATTGTGATAATCAATCAATCACTTCTGTCATTGTTTAAGCAACAATATCAATTGTTCCATAGTTCTAATTTCTCAGCTGTGAGGAGCTGCTGCGGTAGTAAATCAATACTTCTTGGAGTGTTGATCAGACAAAATAAGCTATTTGAAGAAACCGAGTGGGGCTTTAGAAAACTGTAGTTCTAAATTAATCAAATAATCAAGAAAACAATAATAAGATTAAACAATAATGAAAATAATCGCTAGTTGCACCCTTCGACAGAAGGCTGTGATCTTATTTAATTGAAATTAAATATTAATTAAAATATGTTGAACCAATCAGTATTCAAAGTCCTATTCTACGATCAAGAGCTTTAAGACCCCGTTTAGCCAAGATATGTCTTCTCTTTATGTACTTGCGAGAGTGATATCTTATAATTCCCTCTGGAAAACAAGCGTGGATGTACTGCATTCAGCTCTTGATTATGCATGTTGAGAAAATAATAGAAGTTGCATTGTAGAAGCAAGACATCTAATTATTCTATTAGAGAAAAACTGCTCGTTGCTCTCATTTCTCGAAACACATACAATCTTTTGTATGCAAATCTGGTTAATTGAGGCAACTGCTGGTGGAGATATCAGTATCTATTTGACCCTCTTGCTCATGCATCCGCAGAGGATTGTGGGTCAGAATAGCTGGTAAAGCATGCTGGCATGCATACTGCAAAATGAGACTGGATGCATTGGGACATCCTGGCACTTTTGGCATACTGCATTTGCATACTATGTATTGGGACATACTAAATGTTTTTTTCTGGCATACTAAATAGGATGGTAGTATGAGTATTGGAATGCTGAGTAAGAATATGGTGGAAGCTTCCAATTAGAAGTTTCAGGTGTGAATGCTCCAGGCTAGAATAAACGAAGGGACAAATGAAACAAATGAAGAGAAGGGAGGAAGGGCAGATGAGGATGTCACACTGCTGCTCTTGGGCAGGTTGGTATTTGTAAAATACTGGGCCAGCGCCTTTTTTAAAATCGCATCTTCATTTGCACGGGAAGACTTGAAGAGATCGTTTCTGGCGGTGGTGTCATATGCGACGAGTTCACCTGCAGTCACAAGCATGCATGTTTGTGTAATTACTCTCAGTGACAGAGGGGGAGACTCCAGCTTTAAAACAAGCCAATAATAATTAACTCTAAGATAAAATGTGCTTTATTAGTTGTTCGTGAGGATGAGCCTTACCTTTTCTGGTTTAGGTGCGAGGACGCCCTGGTTATGGGAGGGGCCCGGCGATGGCGGCTGCAGTGGACTGGCTGGGTCCCCGTTGAGGAGCGCCGCCGACACGTTGGGAGGCGTGAGGCAGGAGAGAGGGGATGAGAGGGGGAGGAGGGGCCGTGAGGCGGGAGAGGAGAGGGGTGAGGGCCCTAGGCTGGGTCCTGGAGACACCATGGAGTGAGGACGACCCGATTGGCCGGGGCAGCGTGAGGGGGAGGAACTCTGAGGACGCAGGGGGGAAAGGGCCACTGTGGGGCGCTCGGGGCTTCCAGCAGGAGGACTGTGGACTGAAACAGACAAAAATACATGTGTGTTATTATAATTGAGAGAAACGTATAATGAGAGCAGTCATCACTAGTGCTGAGAGGGAACATGGCAATCATTTTGGAGCACTCAAAATCTAAGGAGAGATAAATAATCATAGTAAAAAAAAAAAAACAGATCCCTGGTTCCGGCAAGATTCAGCCTCTAGCTACCCTATTTGAGGATTTTGTGCAAACTTTAGAGTACAGTAATGTTTAAAAAAGTATACTGGGTAAAGCAAAATGCAATTACTTGGCACACTGTTCTGCTTAAGTCTTAAATGCTTCAGTAAAGGCTGGTAAAGGCTGCTGGAGTCTATCTCCACATGAATTGGGCGGAAGGCAGAGAAACCAGCCAATCACATACAGTTTACTTATTGACAAGTGTGGAGTCTTCTAAGCGTCTTCAAATCACCTCAGTTGTACATTTATGGTCCGACTAAAACCAACAAACTAGGGCCAATCTGAGAAGATGAGTTATAAAATAACAAACCACCTTGCTAAACCTTGCACCTTGTACAGTGCAAAAAACAGGCTGAGATGTCCTGAGTTTGAGAACATTTTTCTCAGCCTTCAATTTGAATGAGGTCATTTGGTGCTCATGAGAATAAGTACACAAAAATACACACCCACATAAACATAGACGCATATACATGCTCTCACATTAACACACACGCCCGCACACACACACACACACACACACACACACACACACACAGACGCACACCGACGCACGCACACACACAGGGTTGCTAGCCACCTGCTCTTCTACACTGCAGTACTCAGGCAGAAATCCATAGAGAGGCGCACTGGTCATGTGATAAAACCACTAAATGCCAGAACTATGCACATAATTTATTTTGTAATGGAGACCAGATGTGTGTATGTGTGTGTGTGTGTGTGTCTGTTTGTGTGTATGTGAGAGTGAAAGAGGGAGAGAAAAACAGAGGGAGAAAAGGGAAGAGGTGGACGGAGAGAGGCATGAAGCTCTGTCATTACGCCTCCATAAAACAAAAAGCACAGTGATGTCATTCAGCTGTGTTTAGTAGTCTGTGTGTGCTCATTGGTGTGTATGCGTGTGGGTGTGCACATGTCTCTGTGTGTGTGTGTTATTCTTGGTAGTGTTCTCACAGTGTCTAATCTTCAGCCTTCCAAAGGAAATGGTCACCATTATTTTCTCAGAAGGGAGAAAGAAAGCATGCAAAGAGAAAGAAAAAAGGGATTCTGGAGAGATGAATAGACTCTGAGTGGACAATAAGGTTGATGATATGATCTAGAGACCTTGTACAGACACAAGTGTGTGTGTGTGCGTTTGCGTTGGTGAGTTGCAGGCACAAACAGTACCACCGAGTAATCAGAGCTCTTAGTAGTGTCTATGTGTGCAGACTGAGCACAGTTTGTACGTTGGAGTGCATGTCGTAATGCTGCATTTGAGCTAAATTGTGAGTTTGAGCTAAATTGTGAGTTGCTTATGTTCAGTGATGATTCAGTGGGCTTGTATAGAGCAGGAGAAGTAAGAGTGGTTTGCTGCCAAAAACCGTATCACATACATGTTTTTTTTATTGCAAAATTGTTGTCAGCATGATGGGTCGGTGGTTACGACTGTCACCTCACTGCAAGCATTCACCTGCCTCTGGGTTCTCGGTGTGTTTTTCTTCCAACAGTCCAAAGACATGCAGGTTAGAGCCGTCCTCGGGGCCTTGAGGGGTTTAAGACGCTGACAATATAATTGCAATGCCCCCGGTTCGGGTTGCATGTCACCCCTCATCTCTCTTCCCTCACTTCCTATCACCTCAGTACTGTTTCTCCTTTCTTCTAAAGGCAAAAGTGCCGAAAACAAATGCATCACAATGTTAGGTAAATAAAATTGCAGACTCAAGATTTCCTGTATATGTGAGCGCGATTGACTGTCTTTTTAAGCCATGTGATGGTTGTAGAAAATTGTTGAATGGAAAAAAAGTTAGATTTGAATTGTAATTCAAAAGAGATATGACGCATATGCCATATTGATATACAACAAACATCCGCTTTATGGCCAAAAATATGAGTTCACATACTTGAGTGTACTCTTTGTCTGGTTTTGGTTTTGGAATGAGATGCTTAAAAATGTTATGATAGTATGATTTAAATGCTCAAATGTCGAGAAACGTTTGGCCGCGTGCTGTATTTGAATGCCACTAACCGGATCTCATCCTGCTCATTCATTTGGATATTCACTGATCAATATTCTATTATTCTGTAATAAGAGACTAAGGGGATAAACTGCTGCAAGATGCACGATCTGCACTCTGCTCCTTTAACCCTGTAGGCTGGTAAAGAGTCTTATCGCACAGTGGGATATTGCAGAGCATAAAATACCAGACACAGACACATCTCCATGTAAGTAAATACTTTCTTTTCACTTGCTTAACATTTCTCTGGAGGGATGCAACACGATGCGCCTCTCCTTTCATACGGTCCCATATTGGGAGGCTTTAATGTGGCTGCTTCTGTTGCAGAATAGCAGGATGTTTGTTTGTAGCTCAACTTGTGAGTCAGTCAGTTCCTATCTTGAGTGCCACTTTGGGAAGAAGATAATAAATTGTTTCTTTACTATGATATGTTGGGGCTGTGCCATTATCTTAATCAGTGAATATGTGATCCGGATCGATCAATAGACTGTTAAAACAGGAACAAAACTGAAAACAGATGCTTCTGAATGTTTAATGGATCCGGTGCTCAATGATTAAACCCATTATGTGTATTTGTAACATTGTGTGTGTGTACGTTTCTGCTTACCCAGCTGCATTGAGGTGCGTGCCTGGTTAACTGTATGCTGACTGGAGCGCAGGCAGTTCTTCAGCTGGGCGGCGGCAGTTTGCGGCGAGGAGGCGGGACTGGTGTTGTTCACAGAGTTTACCAGTGGGGTGGAGGGACGAGACGAAGAGGGCCCCGGGGACCCCGGGGACGAAGGGTCGGAGATTTTACTACCCACACTTCCTCCTCCTCCACCTACTGGACTGGACAAAGACGATCCCCGAGAAGAACCGACTCCAAACGGAGCCCTGCAGAGGAGAGAGGAGTGAGGGATATTGGCTTGTCATTGAATGTTTCAACTGTTTAAACATGACATTTTTTTATTTTTGCTTTTGTCAGCCCTGATCACATGTTTTAATGAAAAAAGTATGTTGCTTTATATTGCTTGTGTTAACCACAGACCTTATGTGAGGCAATCTAACCAAAAAGCCATTCAAAAAACCCTTCAAGGGAACAAGAAAGGCAAAAATGCTTACTCATATCTGGGGTTTAGGACACCTTCCTGCAGCACTCTATTATACCTGCTTCTGGTGTTACCATGTTGATGTTAGCATGTAGCTCAAAGCAAAGCTGTGCCTGAGTACACCCTCACATAGCATGGCTGTAGAGTCTTAGTCTTGTCTAGTAGAAAATGTTAAAAGCCAGTGTTTTGTCCATAATAGCAGAGCAGAAGGGACAAACAGCGCTATAAACTTCCATCAAAGTTAGTGATTTCAGTTTTATTATCTAACCGGTGGATCAGCATGACTTAATGTCTTACTGTAACATATATGGAGCTGCAGGCTGCTCAAGTTTCTGTCTGCAGAGTGCTGAATGGCAGAACAGTGAGCTGAACATTATTGACTCGGCGGTATTCACACTCTTATGGCCACCCATTGACTTCCTGTCACGCGCATACAGAGTTATGGCTTTCTCTGTGTGTGTGCTGCATGCATGTGTGTACCACCAGAAACAGAAAAGCCATTCACAGATACTTTGAATAAAGGTTTTCTATGGACAACACACGGACTGCTTATTGTGTGTGCTGCGCTTTGCCCATACAGATATTTACCAGCCGCTGGTAATGTTTCCACCATGTGAGTCTCTGCGTTTGGCCCGATTTGGAGTTCCGGCTCGTGTGATCATCCTATGACTAGGTGGTCTCTAGTTTTAGTTGCTATCAGTAACTTTTAAGACTTTAAGCAGCATGTATGCCGCTATAAGATGTTACAAATCTTAAATGAATCCAGGATAACTAATAATAATAATCCAAACGCATTAATGAATTCTAATATGGAATCTGATCAAATCAAATAATGTGTGTTTGCGTCAATCATTATAATAAATTCCACAACAAATATGTAAATATTAAAATTGCATTTCAAACAGGCTGTTTGTCAGCCTGTATCGGTCTAACTCAACAATGTATGCACGTGCATGTGTGCGTACATGTGTGGGCATCTTTGGCAGCCTCTCATTATCATATTGAAACATTTCTGAGCTGCACTGCAGACAAAGGAGAGGAGATGGGGGGAGGTAAGGAAGGGGGAGGGAGGGAGAAGGAGAGAGTATGCTTGCGTAAAAATAACAAATTGCCTCTCATTTGATTACTGGCCTGTCCTGCCTCTCTCTCTCTCTCTCTCTCTCTCTCTCTCTCTCTCTCTGATTGCATAACTGCAGAATATGAAGCAGCCATTCATATCAAGTGCAGAGAGACACCTGCTGTTTTTGCTGTCGTTTCATCTCTTTGTAGCATTTTCTCTTTATATGCCTCACTCTGTTGCTTTCTCGTACTATCTTTTATTTCAATTTCTTTACATCTCTCTCCGACTCGTTCTACCTTTCTCGCAATTTCTTTCTCCGCCCCATTCGGTGCGCTTTTCCTCCACTCAACCTTCCTGTCTATCCTGCAGTACCATATCTTTGTTTTCATCCTCTCATTATCTCTCCCTCCCTCATTTGATATTTTCTTCATACTTCTCCTTTGCTTTCATTTTCTTCCTCTCTCTCTCTCTTTTCCTTCATCATGGAGCAGAATACAGATTAGATAAACAGCCACTGCAAATGTTTTCACGCATGCAGGAATAATGAGGGTTATTAAATTGCCAAATATGATTTCAGTACACAATTTATTTTGTTTTATTTGGTTTTAACAGCTATGAATAACAGTGTTTCGGATGCTAAAAGCAACAATGATGATGATGATGAAACTCATGATGATGACGATAGTGATCTACAATGTGGTAGTCCAACATTACAAAGACAGAGCCAGTATCAACTGACTGATGTTATGTGTGTTACATTGGATTTAAATCAAATTGGAAATACCTCAGGTTCTCTATTTCTATTATTTTCCTAATTCTAATTGCAAGTTAAACCAGTGAAGTTAGACTTTCACAAAAAACAACAGAAAACCCATTTTCCAAAAGGGATGGATGGGTAAAACATGTGTTTTTATTTTAATTCATACTGTAAGAACTGTTTTAGAAAAGAGTTGACAGTGGTTTACGGTCCCTTCCAGGTAAGTACTTCTCAGAATATGCTGTCGCTGGTGTGACCAAATCATTTTGTTCATTTTGGTGAAAGCAAAATCCTGACAGTGCACAGTGGGGAGCAGAGGCTGAAGCTGGAAGAATACAATAGGCCTTCGCCAACTCAAGCCTCCAAAACGTTGCTTTTTTTTGGGGCGTGCTTTTGTGACAAGAGGCAGCGTAAGTACACAAAAACACGAGTGTGATTACTTGCCATAACAGGCAAATTACACTGCTCAGTCTGATCTTCATTTCGGTTCAGTTGAAGCAAGGGAATTACCACGGAAAATTACAACGCAAATTACAATGCAAATTACACCGACTGCGCTACCGCTGCGTTTGTGTAACAAAATGAGGGGCCTTAGACTGATTGTACTGCACTTCAGTGTTCAGATGACCAAACCAAATGACAAGTGGAGCAAAGGTCTGAAATACCAACAGCATATGAAGATGACATGCAATGCAGAAAGAGAAGAAGCTCCCTGACCACCACTACCCAGCCATCAGCCCTCTCACCTGAATGAGTTAGCTAAACTTACACTGACAGTACACTACTATTGCAGCAGGTAGGGGTCGTTTTTGTTGCAGAGGAACACCTTGACAGCACACGTGATTACTTTCCCTTTTCCATCTTGGGCAAAGGAAGTGAGATACTGTACTATAACTGCACATCACCAACATGACTGTATTTGGATGCTGTGATGTTCCTAGGAAGATCTACCACCACAATACCCTCCGACCTCCACATGCCCAAGCCTGACCTCACTGACCTGGACACGGGCGTGACGTAGTTCCCCGGGAAGACACCAGAGGCAGCAGTTCTCAGTGAGGTGCCTTTGAACCAGCCGTCTTGACACTTCTCTGTCACCCGATACATCTCTCCTTTCCTAAGCTCCAGCTCGTCAGCCTTCTGGGGCTTGTAGGCGTATAAAGCCAGATATCTGTGGAACAAAGGCAACAGTCCAATTACAAAATCATTATAAGTCAGCAGGAAATCTCGAGAAACCCTTCACCAAATACCAATTATCTCCCATGTGGATTACCCTAAATATGAATTATGCAAAGTAAAAGCAAAGCAATTACAAATGCAAATAAATAAACAAATGAATGTAAATCCTTTAAAAAACAAGTAGACATTTCTGTCAGTGTGTTAAGAAGGAAGGAGAGAACACCACATTTCAATGCTGTTTTACTTGAATCAGAGAGTGAATAACTCCTCTGGTATCGAGAAAATGACTCAGGAATATTCATGACACTTTCCTTTTTCAGTTATCAAAAACAAGTTTAAATTCTCTTTTGGGATTACAAGTATTTATCGCCATTTATTTTTTACAAAATGAAAAATAAGACTACATTTTATTTTTAGTTGTTAAGATGTACAGTGCACAGGACCAAAGGATAAGAGCATGCACACTGTCGATGCTCAACCAACTGCTTTATGAAACTACCATATTTTGATTTATAAAAGGATTTTCTTTGTCAGCACAAAGAGAGAAACTGTGGAGGTTGGTCCTCCCACCATATATCATCCGTTTCCCCAAGAGTGGGAAAGCAACTGTAGGTGGCAACTGTAGATATGAGAGCTTGTTGTCAGATATCAGTAATTTATCTTATTTAGCATCTGAAATGAATTCCATTCAAACAGCAACAACAAAGTTTTTCGTTACTGAGGTATGACTACCAGTTAAGACAATCTTATTTGAGTAAGCCAGGAGTGTTTTCGGAAACAGTTTTTATCTGAACAACTGAATTAACTTACACACACTTACAGGTTTTTGAGATTTTTTTGAGATATCGTAAAAACAACGTAAACATATAATTTATCTTGCCTCAATCTACCAGGTAAGTTAACTGAGAATACATCCTCTTTTACAGTAATGACCTGGTTTTCATGAACACCAATAAGGCTTTTGGGGATATTATAGTATGGAAATCATTAAATATGTTCTACTATAACTACAATCTTTATTCAGATATCAACAGATCAAATTTCCAAAATATTAGCATGTTAACCAGAATCAAAGGCTATTTGGGACATATTGCAATGAACTGTGAACTATAACACATGACCTTTTACAAATAAAAGTTTCAGAATCAGAATAGCCCGACTCATACAAGATGTACGACTGCTTTAATAATGTAGCCTGAGATCTATTATATTCTTTATGAGAATTCAAGTCATTTCTGGTCATGGGACCAACAGAAGCTGACTGACTCATTACTCCCTCCCAAATGATGTACTATCCCATGAATGGGCAGTCGATATGTCTTCGTTTACCTGCTCACTAACAGGTAAGCCGATAACTGTAGTACTTAGCATCTTACAGTATTGTTGGAGACATTCGTAGTACGTAGTGCCAGAATCCGACAGAAGACGATAAGGCCACAGAGTAAACAGGCCCTGTATGCGCTGCCTCCCCGTTGCCATGGTAACAGATGTGGGGACCATCTCCCGTCTCCCCATGGCAACAGGAATAGTTGCCAGGTCAAGATGGAAACATCCGACCTCATCAGTAGAACAAACCTACTTGCGTGTATTAAGTGTGTGTCCACCCAGCGCTGCTTGGAAGGTGATATTATTGAAGCTGACTATGTTGCTGTATTTGACTTGTATTTGACTTGCATCCTGCAGGCAGGTAAAAGTAAACAGCCCGGCCCCTTGCCAAAACCGCAAACCGAATACTGACCTTGGAAAACGTGATTACTGACCAAACATCCTCACTTTCCAAAAATATCCCAACCTGCCCTCTCAAAGGTTGGGATTGGTCCGCAGAAGGATGGAAGTACAAGAGTACGAACACACACTCACCTTGAAGATACCCGTATCTTTCTGGCAGTTACCTGCTAGATTAATTACGAGGTAAATTATAGAACAGTCTTGCTCAGCGTTGGCGCCTCACCAACCATCTGGATGCGACTAGTGAGGTTACACTTCCACAAGAATTCAATTGTGCTTGTGAGTGTTTGTCAGGTGATTTTTTTGCCGCTCTTGATCCATTCAAGCTATGATCAACCTGTGAAATAATCTAAGTCAATAGCAAAGCTTCCAACAGCAGTTTATGAATGCCCACTTTGTTTGTCTTGAGTGCTCATACTGAGTCATATTACCATCTATTGTACTATTTGTAGGTATTGTCTGAAAGTTTTGGTAAATTTGAAAAAAAAAAGCTTCCTGATGAACCCCAGGGGGTTTAAGATGCCGATCATGTCATCACAACATCTGCTTTTCAGTTTTTTTGCATGCCATCCCAATCTCTCTCTCCCCTTCCCCTCATTTCCTGTCTGTCCACTATCAAATAAATGAAAAATTCCCCAAAATCCCTAAAAAGCTGACACAACAAGCATTCTTAGCTGCATATATTCTGAACTGAAGATATATCCAGTACTGCATTTGTTAGCAAGGACTAACCACCTTATTGTTCATTGCTAATTAGGAAATGTTTTTCTTTACATACATAACAGGCTGTGCTCTAAAATGCATAGGGTAAGCGATGGCTGTGCTGCTGAAAAGCCTTGTTATGAAACACTGATGTACCGTCAGCATCACACAACAGAGAGAACGGAGTGTGACTGTATTTTTCTTTTCTGAGGGGGATTTGATCCTTGACCAGCAGAGGAGTAAATGTGGTTGCAGAGGTGGTGGAACGTGGCCAATAACTCTGGGCACAAAAGAGGAAATATTTTTAACGCTATACCAGGAGGTTCTGAAATCATGTTTGGATCTCAGACGAATATCCACTCGGTTGGAAAACAGAATGGGTGTTTGCACTAAAAAAACTTGGTCGCAGGTGAGTGAATGACAGCACCTTGAGGTGTACTCACATGTTGAGTGGCAGCTGAACCTTGGCATGGGCCAGCAGCTCAGAGGTTATGGATGCCACTTTGGGCGGCACCAGCACCCCTGCCAAGGAGGGAGAGGGACCCTGGTGGGATGCATCCTACAGACACACAGACAGATACACACATACAGATCGAGTGGTTTCCATTTAAAATAAAACATTACTTGCAATATGTGCCAGCAGCCATTCCGGTTTTTCAGTGTGCGTCCTGGGTATTATTCAAAAACACATTTAACCCAGGTGTGAATGCAACCAGAGGCAATAAATGTAAAAGCAATGTGTCTCCAGTCGCCAGCTGTCAAAGACAGGAATGCTGTTAGTCACATAGAACTGTCAGAGTAGGTGATAGGGGAATAAGTTAATCAAATCTACAGTGGAGAGAAGTTACCACAGTGAACTCTGGCTTGCAAAACGTACAGTACGTGCATGTGTACTGCATGTACTGTATATGTGTGCTTAGAGCCCGGCCAAGAAATATTTTATCGGGGCTAATATATTGGCTGATAATAGTTTGTTGCAGATACTGTTTATCTGTATCAGTGTACATATGTTGGCATGAAAAAAATTTGAAACATATCGTTGCCTATCGGATAATACCTTTTTTAAGATATTTTTAGACCAAGTGCAAGAAAAATTGTGTCACAATCACAAGGTCCATTTATATTTCCAACCCATCTATATCTATGAGCCTATTCACACAAAGATCTACAGCAATCCAAAACGTTTGTGTTTCAAAGTGTGTTTTGTTTTTTCCTTGTTTGATTTCTATGAATTTCGGATGCTGATAAAAATGAATACAAACAGTAGAATAATAACTGAATTGATGTTCTCGGATGTCAGTGGCAATTGGGTTGATACAGCCAATGTGGAAGATGATCAATTGATCCATTTGGACTTGCTAAAAAGTGTTCATTGACAAACAAAATAAAGGTTATAATGATGTGATGGTGAGTAGCCAACGAAAGAGAACATACGCCTTTTTAAACCTGACCAAGAAGCACCAGATAAAAACACAAACAGAGCTTCTTCATAATATCCTTTTGAGATCAAGATTTTACACAGATCATCTTAAAACATATATGTCGCTAAACCAAACATTAAATAAAATAGTTAAAATCAGCTCCATCTCCACTAACCAATGTTAAAATCTTCTCAATCTTCAAAACAAGTACTGTTATATTTCTGTACTTTGACTATAATGTGCAGTGTGTAGGATTTGGCAGCATCTTACTGAAACTTCTCCCGTGTGCCAAACACGTAGGACTACGGTGGCTGAGAATGGCCCAATCTAGAGCCAGACTTTGTTCTCTCATACCCATCCATCTAAATGTTATTCTCCTCAGATTGCTTTTGTCCCCTTTGAATTTGTCGCCTGTCTTTGTTTTACTTTGTATAATCTCCTTAGCTGTTTGTGTCTTCATGTGCTTGTCTACACTTGCTTTTTAATCCCTTTATCACACGATAAAAATGAATTAATAACTAAATAAAGCCAGTGTTTGGTTTGTCCATACTGTAGAAGCATAGCTGCCGGCTCCGTGACAAGGTCCCACTAAATATGGAGATGTAAACGGTTTATAAGGTCATGAAAATCGGAACAATTCCCACTTTCAGATGATTATGCACAAAAGAAAACATACCGATTAATATTATATTCCATTCCTGCCAATAGATCCGACTAAATGCTACACACTGTTCCTTTATGTAAAAGTTTGAAGGCAGAACCCTTCCTCGTAATGAAGTATTTTACATATATCTCTACCTCAAATTACCACCCCTACTACACATTACTCTAATTATAGTGTGTATGTACGTGTTTGTGTGTGTACCTGGATGCGTGCAGCAGCTCTGGGGTCGGATGAGCTGATGAGGACCGGGTGGGAGATCTCCATACTGTGTCTGTTGTTCAGCTGGGCGGCCCTCTGGCTGACAGACAGCGCAGAGAACGAATGCCTCTTCTTGGCGTTTTTCTTCCCCTCGCCTCGCCGATGGCCAGAGCCATTTCCATTGGCCGGGGAAGCGCTGGGGGAGGGGCCAGGAGAGCAGGGGCCCAGCGGGGCTGGCTCGGAGCTCGGACCTGGAGCGTTAGTTGGAGCGGGCTTGTCGATCTCCATCAACTGCTTGGCTGTTTCATTTAACTGAGCCGAGAGGAGGAGGAGAAGCAGGTGTTTGACAGAACAAAAGAAGGGGGGTCGAGGGGAGAGACAAGAGAGAAGAGAGGAAAAGTTCAGGTGTTTTATTTAAATCCTCTGTGGTTCACATCCATAACAAGATCTCCAGTACTTCTCTCACTTGTTCTTGTTGGCAGCTTTTCAAAAGCCAGCAGCATAACAATCGTCACTTACAGCAGCTGGTCCAGTGAGCTTCCCTGTACTCACTTACTCCCACACGTAACATAACCAAACGTGAGTCAGGGTTGTTCTATTCTGTCATCATTGCGGTTTCATCTCATTTTCTTCTTTGGTAAAATCAGATTCAGTTATTTATTATATATAAGATACAATATAATTCCAAGTTAAACGTTACATCAGGACTGAGTGGTGTTTGATGGTTCTCCACGAAGGCTTCTCTTTAAGAATTTCAGAACGAAAGTCATTCACAGTCTCAAAATCGACCCAATCTTGTGCCAAATTGAATGACCAAATCCCTAATTAAACAATTCAATGAATCCCAAAAATCCTTGACACACACACACACACACACACGCACAAACAAACACACACACACCCCACAAAAGTAATATGCTTGTAAGCTGTCATCTCATGCTTTTAGCTGTATTGTGTTTTTATCCTCAACAATTGTAATTGCCTGTCAAGACTGGGTGATTACAGTTTCATATAAGTAAGTAATTAAGTATTACCAAATAACTGTAAGAAGTAAACATTCCTTCTAGCTCAGAGTACACAATTAGGTGTATGTATCTAATGGTCTGCTCACAGCTCTGGATTTTAATAATGTGGTGGGTGTTTTGTGCAAAGTGAGATGTGCAAAGTGTGTCAGTCCCTATAACAAAGCTTTGCTGATTGGTGTAAGAGTAGCTCTTGCCATTTAGAGTTTCAGTGTGTAATTAGTTGAAGATTTTGAAAGAGGTGGCAAAGCAGAAAATGCATCAGTTCGTTGAGATTTTGACAGTTTCCTTTTGTGTTCCCCAGCATCATATTAAACATTTCACTTATCAAATCCAGTATTGCCGCTTATAAATCATATAAATACGTCTTCTAATCTGATGAGCACCATCATCTAAAATGTGTCTAGTGTCTGGCATACTGTATTTAGGGTTAGGGGACCACTGCTTTCTTAATCTGTGCTGATCGACACTAAAGTCATCGGCTCATTTCTCACTACCCGCAAAAAGAAATGCATCAATGGAGTAGCGGAGGTCAGGTCCATCACTACTACTATAGCTGCCATTACACTCTGTAATTCCATTAACCATATCAGCTAGCTATAGAGCCGACACTTGTTTATCAGAGCGGCATGAAAAAAAGCGAGGATGGATGTTCCATATATATGAGCTATGACGGCCACTGTGCCGAAGTATTTTCTTCCCCGTTGCTGTGAGCACATCTTGGTTGTAAAATGGGAAAACAGTCGGTGTTTTTTGACAATTATAGAGCTTCGCAGTAGTTTGGATGGGCACGAAAAGCAGGCTGGCGCTCATTAATTCTGCTCACTCCAACACTCACATTGCTTCTCAATGTTCCCGAACTACCTGCTGCTTGCAATTTAACTCTCTCCACCTCCCCTCCCTCATTCAGCAGTGCCATTTGGTGTGGTTTCAAGATTTTTTTTCTTTTTTCTTTTATGCGCTCATGTTCATCCGTGTTGTATATCTCAGGCTCTGCTGAGGGGGTTTGTGAGCTCAGGAATAGTCTGCGTAAAGCTTGTTGAGATTTGTTCCAGAGCATCAATTGAGCGGAGTGACGCTGCCAAATTGAAATGAATTGTTAAAAGAAATAGTTGACTTGAATGTTTAAACTTAAGTGATATTATAGCTGAGGCCAACTTTTATGACAGGCGTTGTATGCAAACACAAAACATTGAGTGGTTAAATCCAGCGACGTTTTACATGACGCTATATGCACACTACATAAACACCAGAGGGACAGATGTTTCTCTGAAAGTCTTACTGCAGAGGATGCTACCTAGCATTACCTCTGCACACTGTGTGCAGTGTTCCACACTTGTCTCTACCGAGTAAAAGCAAACATGTGAAGCAAATATTACACCTACAGTACGTGTTAAATGAATCATAAATCATTCTTGGTGTAATCTTACGGGGCAGAGCATGGTCACTAAGGTACTGTGGGTCATTGAACTTGGTCTTCGGACCACAGCCTAACGATGTGAAAACAGGGACACAATAACTAACACAATAACAGACAAAATCTTCAGCCTCAGCCTTCTAACAAATTTACATCGTAATCATGTCTGCTTAGCGTAACCTCAAACTCCTGAACAATCCCTGGAGACAAAGTCGAGCATTTCCTAGTGTGTGTGTGTGAGTGTGTGTGTGTGTGTAGGAGAGTGTGCACAGCACTGACCCGTCTGGGCTCAATATTGGTGATGTTTCATTTCCATATTAATAGATATGCTAATCAAAGCCAACTCATATGCTAATAAGCATGATGGATTGATGCTGCAGAAACAACTCAGTTGAGGACACACGCACACACACACACA